GAGCTGCTGCTGTAGATTTGCAGCACCTGTGATTAATTTAGTCCTGCCTTGGCATTTCCAATTACAGATTTTTCTTACTGGAATTGCATTACAAAGATGAATGCTCTTTCAAGAGAGGACTGCTGAAGGAAAAAAAAAAGATGAGCGTGCTCACCGGAGAAAATGCCTCCAGTGAGCGCAGTGCCTCAGTTGTATTTTTGAGTCTCTATGAGACCACTTCTGTTCTGCAGTTTGACTATATATTCACACATAATGGTGAGTTCTTAATATTAGGAGCATGGTATGTTTTTAAAATTTGGGCTTTCAAACCTCTACCAAGGATTGTAGGGTTGAGAAGGATAAGGTTGTAGAAACTCTGTGCAGTGCCAACTTGTGAACCTGTAGGACCTTGCAGAGTATCAGTGTTTGGTTACTCTTGTCTTCAACTGACATGCCTGTTTGCAAGAATAAAGATGCAAGTACAAGAGATGATTAATGTGTACTTCAATACATTCACTGCAGAAATTAAGTAGAGGTTGTTTTTGCATGATAAATACAACTGCAAAGCAACTTTTTACCCCATTCTTGAGAAGATTAAATCTGTCTTCAACATTAAATTAAAATAGGGATATTAGTTCAGGACTCCTTTTTCCACCCCAAAAATGTTGCACTTGCATCCTCACATTTTTAGTAAGACAGCCAGCTATTCATAACACCTTTGAAGTATAGTATTAAATTTAAAATCACTGTAGCCTTTTTCCTGAATAAATACTAACATGTAGTAATGTATTATTTCTGAGAAATCATTGAAAAAAAATGCTCATAGGGTCTGATGTCTTGTGTTAGCAACCAAATTATATTTTTGCAGTTGGTGAGTGATATTATTTTAAATTAATGGAACTGACTCAGTCTCACATGAACATTAATTTGAGAAAAAAAGCAACAGAAGTATAGTAGGTAGCTGGGCTGAGTGGAACACACCTGAGGGAGGCTGAGGCAAGAGAATCCCAAGTTCAAGGCCTGCCTCAGCTACATAGTAAGTCCATGTCTCAACAAAAAGTTCAGTAAATAAGACTGTGGCTATGACCTCTGACCCCAGCCAGTAACTGTAGAGTAAGATAGGAATTGCTGAGAAAAGCAAGCCCTTTCCCCTCATTATTACACACTGGCATGCTACACCTATTAGTGCTGTGTCTCCCGGTTTTTCCTGGACACAGGGCCAGTTTACTTAAAAAAGAAAACCAAAAACAAAAGGTGATTCCTCTTTCTTAAACTAGAATTTCAAAACATAATAATATACTTTGTCACAGCTTCACTGAGTTTTGAACATAAGAATGTTAATTTAAACATGCCCTGTATTTAAGAAAAAATAGTTGGTGTATGAATGGACTTAATCACCTGTTGACAGGAGGGTACCAGGACAATGTAGGTGATACGAACTTAAGTAAAGATAAATGTGTTAAGTGTAACTAACCTGTTGAGTGCCATAGAAATATTTTCTTTGGAATTCTGTAAATATGAATGTTTTTGTAAGCTACAATTGTATTTTTCACTTATTAGTTTGGTGTAATATTGACTTTTGAGAAGATTTTCATTATTATATAACATCACTTAGTCACTGATTGAAGCACCATTTCTTGATTTTAAAATATTTTTATTCATTTATTTTGTGGGTCTTAATACTACAATTATTCCTTAAAGTAGTTACTACTATGCTAAGCAGTGTGATTTTATTTTTTTTAAACGATAGATTCAGAGGGGTTTTTTGGTTTTGTTTTGTTAACAGTGAGTTTACCAATTCACTTAATCAAGCCTGAAGTTGGTCATGGAACAGACTACAAATTGGGTATTTTTCCTAAGTGGACAATTCCAGTCTATATCTTAAGACAATCATCTTTTTAGATGTAGTATTCTTTAGAGATTGGTAACGTCAGGTTTCAGATTTTTACGTTTCTGTAGGCTTATGAAATGAAAATTGAGTTATTTCACTTTTAGAGTGAAATAAGTTATGGCTCACCTTATAGATCTGCAGTGAAAGGTAAAGTCTTATATGTATCATTACTATTTTTTTCTCATTTGAAACGGTTATGAATATCCACTTTTCCTGATTCAAAACTTGAGATTTGTAAACGTTACAATTTGAACCATAAGTTTCCTTAAACATCAAGCTGGTATGTATAATTATTATAAAATGGGAAATGATAATATATGATAACCCCCAAGTAAATATTTCTAAACCACACAGAAATAACCACTCTATTTTTTTCAAGATCTTATTCCCACTCTCCTTTATATGCTGTGTATTGTGAAGTATTAAAAATCTTCAGGCAAAAATTACAGTGTTGTAGTACAGTAAGAATTTTTGTTATTCCTTAAAGAATTGCTTTTTTTAAAACTCTGTTTATTGTATCATCATTAAATTGCCTTCTGTAATTCAGTAAAATATTTTATTGCTTAATTTTTGTGGCTTTTTATAGTTTTCTGGATGCATTCCTTTTGCCCCCTAGACCATATCACTGATTTCCAACTTTTTGAAAAATTTGTTTATAATAAATCTTGCTGTTTGACGATCAAGGAGTCCTGTGTTTAGGATTCTTCCAGTTGCAGTAGAAAGGTCTAACATAGATAATAGGAAATGCAGATACAGTGTCCTGACATTTTCTTACTAGAGCTTATGAGTGAAGGAATTTTCATTGTGTAGCATCAGTATAAATAGTGCTTGCATTAATTATTGAATCAGATGGAACAGTTATAAGACATTTTTTACTTTCCTCTAAACATTATTGTAATTTCTTGGGCTGGAGGAACGGCTCAAGTGGTAGAACACCTGCTTAGCAAATATGAGGCCCTGAGTTCAAACGCAAGTACCAAACACAAAAAAATAATTTCAAACCACTTTATTATTTTACTCTGTGCAGTTTCCACCATAAGGTTGAATATACCTTTTCTTTACTCAAAGTATCATTAAAGGTAATCAAATAGGAATTATAAAAAAAATTTGGATTTTTTTTCCCTGCAAATACTAGTGAATGTGTTGTCTACAATATAAATATTAGGCAGAAATGCACTTTGTCAAAATCATAGCAGAAGTTACATTTGGAGGATACAATTACTTGATTTTCTAGTGGTGTGACATTTTAAAAAACTGCTTGTCTAACTGAAATGTTATAGAATTGTAACATTATAGGGATTATAGAGTTATATATTTAGCTCTCCTTTAGAGATGGAAGCACAAAAATTTTCATGTAACAATTCTTATCCAAGTGCTGCTAATCTGTTGTGCAAATTAAAGCTATTTGGTTGCCTATGTAGCTCCTCACAAATCACTGTAATCCCTGAAATGTAGTCTTGTTCATTTGTATTAAAATTTGGGTATTGTCAATTAATACTTTAGAACAAAATCCATCAACTCAGCTCTGTTAGCAAACGTTCAGATTCATTAGTTTTTGTATGACTTACCAGTAGAATAAACTAATGACTAAGGGGGAAATTATATTGTCCATATTATTTGACTTGAACATTTGTGGTTGATGTGTAAAAGTTTTGTCTGTTGTTTCTAAATTGCTTAAGCCATACATTCTTTTTAACAAGAATTGTTTTTGTTTTGTTCCTTTCCAGCAGCCTTTTTTTGGCTTTGTTACAGTTAATACTTCATAGATCTTGGAAATTGAGAAGTTCTCGAAACATCACTTTTGGCTGTTGTGTATGTAATTTGTCATAAAAGATAGCAAACCTTTCGCTACTTCACTAAACGAATTTCAGAGTAAACACTGTGATTCTGCAAAGCAGATTCTGTAGGCTTTCAACAATTTTTTTCTTGTTATACAGTGCCTACCACCTAGGGCACTTAAATATTACTAGAGGATGGAAAGTTAAACGTTGTTTTGATGTTTATTAAATAAGATTAGAGAATATTTGATTTTGTTTTGTCAGTGTATTAGAGAAATTTTTGCATTGATAAATGTTCTTTAGGAATGTGACTACATTCATCGGGTGTGAACTCCTGTAAATGAATTTTGTATCTTGAATCCACGTATAAAGTGTATCATCAATATAAAAATAAACATTATTTGCTTAAAGTTTGGAGTACTTCAGAATCATTGACAGCTTGGGAGCTAAACTGTCAGGGTTACTTCTTTCAGGGGTTGTGGACTTGTGCTTCTTCTACATTTCTTCGTCCTAGTTTGGCCTTTGCCCTGCCTGAGCCTGGTGGTCACACTGGGAGGAAGGGCTGCAGACCGGCGGATGTGGGTAGGAGCTGCAGCTCCTCTAACGTGGACAGCCTGGTCTGGCGCTGGGGATCCGGAAGCCTGACAGGCTATTAAACCTGCACCATAAACAGGGCAGTTTTTTCCTTTGGACTTCAATCTGTCATCAAGAGGCTGCCCATTGGTGTCGGTGAAGTTAAAGTAGTGTTTTTAAGTCATAATGCCAGTGTGCAGGCTGTATCAAGGCTAAGGTTCCGCAAACTAATCTGGCAACTCTGCATCATGAGTGTACTAGGTTGCCCTACAAATCGGGTCAGATGCAAGAGTTCAAACACAGGGAGCAAGGGGCCAGGTGTAGATTTAGGAGCCACAGGCTTCCCGGAATCACCTGCCACAGTGACGAGGTGGCTACGCAGGGTACAGCCGGACGGGAACGCGGGTCCAGGCCACCGCCAGACGCGGGGCTCCTCCCACTCATCCTGCTCCGCGCCACCCTCTCCGCAAAAGGTTAAGGTGAAGGTTTGGCAACCCAGTCGTCATTGCAGGTCTGAGCTCGCTGACGTGGCAAGCTGGCCCGGAGCAGCGGCAGCGCCCGCGCCGGGCAGCAGCCGAGGCCCAACAACCCACGGAGACTCGGACGGGCGCGGCGGAGTCGCGCACGGAGCGCATGCGCGCAGACGCCACGCCCATCCGCGCGGCCACTTCCGGAGCGCTGAGGGACGTGCTGTTCCGGGTCGCTGCTCGCTCACCGGCCTGGTGACGCGGGCCGGCGCTCACGAGAGGCCACGGAGGCGGGGCTTTGCCGGCTGCCCCGAGAGCCGCAGGTGTGCGGGCCGGGGGTCAGGGGACGAGAGCAGGCCCCGGTTCTCCCGGTGCCTTCGGTCTGTCCACAAAGCGGTCCGGACAGGCTCGTCCAAGACCCAAGGTGGGGGGCGGTACCAGGGTGCTGAAAGGGATAGGGCAGGGGCGGAGGTGGGCCGCCCTGGCCTGGGAGTCTCACGCTTAGAGAGTGCGGGGTTCCTCCCTGCGCTACCTTAGCTAAGTCACCCCACACTGGGGCTCAGTTTCCCTGCTGTCAAATAGAGGTGTTGGACCCCCTCCCTTCTTTAACAGTCCAAAGCAAGGGCGTGGCTGGAGGGAGCCTGAGGGAGTGGGATGCCCACCGTGCGGTGGCAGGCACCTGGACGTTAGGCATCTGGTACTCAACTTTACCGTCCTTTTTCTCAGGGACTATCTTAGTGAGAAGCAAGGCACCCCAAGGTCTGGCCAGGTAAACAGTGTCAGAACCTACTGAGAAATAAACACTAGCTCTGGGATACCTTAATCTTATTCAAATTATGAATCGCAGTGAACTATTCTATTCGTTATTCATGTAAATGAATCTCTCAGGCAAATCACAACTTTTTCATAAGACACCAGAGTAAGTGAGGGTATCCCACGGAGAGCTGTTCAAACGACAAGTTTTCTCCCTCCCCTCCCTTTACTCCTTCCTCTCTCCACTTCCTCCACTTCTCTCCCCCACTCTATATTTTGATCTTGAACTTGAAATATCCAGCTCATTTTATCTTTGTCTCATGCAGGGCAGAATGCTTTGAACTCCAGGCTGTTTGAAATCTAGTAGATAAGCCAGGTGAGTGAATGGTTTACAAACATTAAAGGTAAAGTTCTTGAAGAATTTTACTGACATAATCTGAAATGGTAAGAAGTCATCTGTAGACCTTAGAGCAGAGATGAGGTATCCTCCACAAAACATGGAAAGTTAAGACTGGAACCAGAATGTTAATGTTGTGTTGATCATTGGGGGAGGGGGGATGTGTTTGGAATCTCATGTTAAATAACATGTAAAACATTGTCAAGAAAAGAAATTGTGATTTGAGGTAATTTTATCAAACTCAATGAAGACCAGTCACACAGCATTTCCAGGAAAAGTTAAACGGTATCTCATACCTATATAATATAGTTGTCTGATGTGCCTGCTTTTTTTTTTTTCCTGCTGGAATTGCAAACTAATAATTCTGGACCATTACAATGTCATATTGAGTTACATATGTTTGTGCCTTTGACTTAAAAAGAGAGACAGACACTCAGTCCTGGTTACACTTATTGGGAGAAGAATTCAAAAGCATTCAGACATGATTATGTAGTGTCAATGTAGAAAATTTTATTAAACATCATAACCAATGTAGTATGATAAAAACTAAAACAAAACATTGAAACCTATGAGTCAGAGAGTTTTAAGTTCAAATACCAGCCCTGCCACTTAGCCATACAGTCTTTGGCAGATTACTTCACCACCTTCAGACTGGATTTCCTCATCTGTATATGCACCTGAGTGCTTTTTAAATGTTTAGTAATTGTGTTCTATTGTGTTTTATATATTTAAGTTATGAAACTTACTTTTGAAACCTGAGGCTTAACATAACAACTCAGATGTAAAATCTTGCCAGTGCTTGACTTAGAGCTATCTCTTTATCTGATTTATAGATTCTGTGTTGCCATAAGCCCTTGGTTCACATTTTAATTGGGAATGCAGCTAGCTTGGATGTGAAACTTTTTAGGCACCTGTGTCTGAATCCCACTGAGGACTACCAGGAGCTGGTCATCTGTGCACGATAACCACAGGGCAAAAATGTTTGCAAAACTAAAGAAGAAAATTGCAGAAGAGACTGCTGTTGCTCAGAGGCCAGGAGGTGCTACTAGGATCCCACGGTCTGTGAGCAAGGAATCGGTAGCCTCTATGGGAGCTGACTCAGGAGATGACTTTGTAAGTATCTTCTCTGGCTTTGAATATTTTGGTGCAGTCTCAACATATTTTTTAAATAATACTGCAGGGAATCCTTCCAATAAATGTTTTTAAATTGCACAATTGTATCGTACCTTTTGTAGTTAATAGTAGACTCTGCATGTCTGATTCTTCATTTGGAGTAGCTTCTTTTTAGTGTTTGGCTTGTCATATTAATTTTTTTCCTTTCACAGCACTGGGATTTGAACTAAGGGCCTCACGCTCGCTAGACAGGTGCTCTTTCCGCTTGAGCTACTCCACCAGCCTGAGACTTGTTAGTATTAAAGTAGTCTGTTTTTTTTCTTTTTTCTTATTTTTCTGTGAGTCCTTTTCCATATTCTGTACATTGTCCTCTTGCACTGTTTTTCATTCTGTGTAAACTTGTGCATCTTCTTTTACATTCATCTATTTAAAAGGCCTGGACTTGTTTTGCTTACAGGCACATATACTTTAAGTTATTGTTACTTAACAAGGTCTATGAATTGTGATTTGAGGTTAGCCAGAGTGCAGTTTTATTGGAAAAGTTGATGGAAAGATAGCACTGATAACAAAAATTACCTTTAGAAACACAAAGTACTTTTGGGTTTAGTAAGATTTCAAGAAATGAGAATAATGCTATATTAGGGAAGTAACATGCTTCATGATTAAAATGTGTCTTTGGCATATGACAGAATCTCTATAAGTTAGATGATGTTTTAAGATGATTTATAATGCTTGATATATATATATAAAGGAAGGTATATAATGTATATGTAAAGTATGAAGCAGGTTCAATTCTTAGCACTGAAAAAAAATCCTAAAACATACTGTATATGTAAAGTATAATCTGCCACCCATCCAAAGAAATACAATGTTATCGATATTGTTGAAGCCACTTATATCTGCTTTCCAAATTCCTCTCCCACATTCTTCCAAATTATATGATTATCATTCCCTTGTTTATCGTTCTCTTTAAATATCTTAACAGATATGTATGTAGACATAAATAATTTATTATTTAACACTGTTCATCTTTCAACTTTTTAAGAATGATATGCCATAGTCTTCTTGGACTTACTTTTTTTAATTCAACATGTTTCCAAAATGCATCTGTGTTGTGTGAAGCTATGGTTCAATTTTTTTTACTGTTATACAAGATTCCAGCATTTGAAAAGGCCATAATTTATCTGTCCTCTCCTAATGATAACATTTGAGTTGTTTCCATGGTCAGATGAATCTCTGACTGCTCTCTCCTATTGCCTGAATCTGATCAGATCACATGTGGAGTAATAAGATGACAAGATCTAGATATAATTGGCTTCCATATCTAACAGGAAATGTAAGTGGGTATTTAATCACCAGGCTGAAGAATATAGTAGTTTTAATGCTGAATTCTGCAGTAGAAAGACCAGCTTTCCTTTCAGGGTGACATTCCTAATGAAATCTGTCATCTAGAATGTGTTCCAGACACTGAGATTCACCTGAATTCAGAGAATAATTTGCTTTGAGACTTCACGAGTAACTTATTTGAACACATATATATATTTATTCTGATCTTCACTTTCTGCCCCTAGACCCTTATATCCACTTTTATATATTACTCCAAATAGATGCCTTCCCTGTGGCATCTCAATTTCTAAATGAACCAAATTGAATTCAGTAACTCCACCTCCCAGTGCGCATCTTCATTATCAAGAATCACCAGCAGAAGCCATGGAGGCTTTTTAGACTCTTCCCTCCTTTCATTTCTTAGTGCTTAATCAACAAATTGTTGACTAAGCTTCTGTTTCCCAAATGTCTCTCAAATGTACCTCCTACTCCATGTACTAGTGCATTTACTAATACTTCCATTTTATTTCAGGCTGCTTTTCTTTCTTGGACAAACATGGTAGCCTATCTGGGTTTCCTGCTTCTAATAGCTCCCCAGATGATCCTTCTGAAGGATCATCTTTCAGTGCTTAAACCTTGGTGCTTCCTCATCATCTTCAGGACAGAGTGCAAACTTGTTATTGCAGCACAATAGAAAAGTGTCATGGTCTTGTCACAGCTTGCCTGCGCAACCTCGTCTCATTCAGCTTTCCTACACTCTACACTGGAGCCAGTTTGAATTTATACTGAACTTCCTGGAATGGACCACATCGCATCCTGCTTGCAAACGTTTGCCTGTGCTGCTTACTCTCTCTGAAATGTCTTCTGTCTTTCCTGTTCACCTCTGGCAGATTTGTGGATCCCTCAACTCAGCTCACATGTTACTTACAGGACTCTCCCATGACTTTGCCCCTCTTGTAGCCCCCGCCCTTACTCCTGTCTGATTTTGGTGCCTTCTGCTTTCTCTGTAATAGCATCTATTTTATTGCAGGGTAGTGATGATTTGCTTGTTAGTCCCTCCCACTAAACTGGAAGCTCTATGAAAAACAATAAAGCAAAGCCCTTTAGAAGTTAAGACAAAGCCTAGTGCTAGTGGCTCATGCCTGTAATCCTAGCTACTTGGGAGGCTGAGATTGGGGAGATTGTCGTTCAAGGCCAGCCTGGGCAAATACTTCACGAGACTCCATCTTAAAATAACCAGGGCAAAATGGACTGGAAGCATGGCTATAGCAGTAGAGGACCTGCTTTGCAAGAGTGAAACCCTGAGTTCAAACCCCAGTCCCAGCAATGGTCCTAGATGTGTTCTCTGCTACATCATTATTGGGTACTTTAGGCAAGTTCTTTCACTTTTCTATGCCTTAATGTCCACAGTGATAAAGCAGAGATAGGAGTCATATCTGTCTTTATTAAAAGTAAGTGTGTTAGTGTCCCCAAATCATACCTAAGTTCAATTATTTGCTAAAAGGACTCACAGAACTTCACTCACTGCCATTACTTATTAGAGTGAAAGGATGCAAAGTACAGTCAGCAAAGGAAAAAGGCACATGGGCCAAAGCTTGGAGGAAACCAGGCACAAGCTCAACTCCTATGCAGTTGCACAGGATGTGCTTAATTCCCCCAGCACTGGGCTGTGACAACACATGTAACATGTCTGCTGGGGAAACTTATTAGAAACTTAGTGTCCAGCATTTTTACTGGACACTGGTGGTGTAGACATCTGCCTAATATGTACCAAAATTCCAGACTCCAGAAGGAAAGGAGGTGTTCAGTGAGAATCATGTTTATGCATAAACTGTTTAGGCACAATCATCTGTTCTTACCAGGAATTACGGGAACCCTCCTCAAATCTTAAATTCCCAGATGCCATCCAAGGGCACCTTTCAAAACCTTTTGAGGAATAGCAGTCTCAGGCCCACAATGTTCACTATTTTATTTTTTTATTGTAAATAAAGAACTTAGCACAGTATCCAGGTTCTAGTAAGGATGTCATAATTATTTTCTGCTGCTGCTGCTCCTGCAGTTGTTTTAAGGAGGGCCTCTTTGTTTCACCACTACTCCTAATGCTTAGCAGAAGGCTGAGACCTAGGATATCTCACACACAATAACAATCGTAACAACAGCTATGGTCTGATGTATTTCCCCCCACAATTCACTTATGTGGAGGTATTAGGAGATGGATCCTTTGGGTGGACTCCTTAGGTCATGAGTCAGGAGCCCTTGTGATTGGAATTAGTAACCTTATAAAAGAGGCTCCAGAGCACTGCCTTTCCCCTTCCATCATGGAAGGGCACAACTAAAAGATGCCATCTTTGAACCAGAAAGTGGGCCCTCACTAGACAGGGAGCCTGCTGGGACCTGGATCTTGGATTCCCAGACTCCAGAACTATGAGAGATAAATTTCTGTGGTTTATAAGCTATCTACCTTATACTATTTTTGTTATACCAGCCTGAACAAACTGACAACTAGTAATAGATAACACTATCTATTTACAAAATTAAAACTAATTTTGTGTCAGGTTCTGTTCTGTGGATTTGACAAGTTCCAATTTACTTAAGCCTCCCAGCTCTGTTAAACAGAGTATATTTACTATCAGTGTACAGATGAGGGAGGCAGTGCACAGGGAAGAGGAGTAATTAGCTCAGATTCTCACAGCTTTTAAGTGGTAAGGCTGGGACTTGAGCCCAGATCTTAGGACTCCAGAGACTCTCCTTTTCCCTGTCCTCTGTACTGACTCTCAATAAATGTTAGATGGGCAAGTGGCTGAAGAAGTAAATATTTGAAGTGAACCATGAATTATTCAGCCACCTTAAAAAGCATTTTGGGGCTAAAATAGCAAAACATGATTAAAGACTGGGTATTAGTAGTATTTTAAATTTTGTTATTAATGGTATTGTACATATGTAAAAAATGTCCTTGTTCTTTAGAAGTGTTTATCAAAGTATTTATGATGAAAAGTCATGATATCTGTTATTTTAACTATAGCAAAATAAGAATTGATGAGGTGGGACTGGTAGAGTGACTCAAGTAGTAGAACACCTGCCTAACAAGCGTAAAACCCTGAATTCAAACCCCAGTACCACCAAAAAAAAAAAGAGACAAATATGAGAACAAAAACATCTATAAAAGTAAACAGAGGTGAGTGCTGTAATCCTAGGTACTTGAGAAGCTGAAGTCAGAGGATCGCAGTTTGAGACCATCCGAGGCAAATAGTTTGGCTATCCCATCTCTAAAATAACCAGAACAAAATGGACTGGAGGTGTGGCTCAAGCAATAGAATGACTGCTTTGCAAGCAGAAAGCCCTAAGTTCAAATCTCAGTACCACCAAAAAAAAAAAAAAATCAGAACAAAAATGGACTGGAGATATAGCTCAAGCAGTAGAAGCATCTACTTTGCAAGCATGAAGCCCTGAGTTCAAAACCTAGTCCCCCCCCCCATAAAAAGTAGATGGAGAATGTTCATTAAGCCATTTTCCCTACTTCTCTGTATTTTGATAAGTTTTATTAAAAAAAAAAGTAAAAAGAAGCCAGGCATGGTGGTGCATACCTATAATCCTAGCACTCAGAAGGCAGAGGCAGGAGGATCACCAACCTGAGCTACATAGCAAGACCCTATCTCAAAAGAAAAAGTAAAAAGATTTTTTTAAGTCAGTGATTTTGTAGCAATAGCAAGTAGTACCCAAAGTAATACTAATACCTGCAAGTTTTTAAATAATCTTGATTATTGGAGAAAAGAGATGCCTTAATAATACAGTGAATATTGAGTGCATATTTTCTGTGAAAGCCTTCAGTGCATTTTAGAAGTTTAAGTTGGCATTCCTTTGTTTTGTAGGTGAGGATAGAAAGCTTTACCAATATCAGGATAGATTCTAAGTCATAGACAAGACTCTTGTTGAAGAACCCTCTGCATTTCTCCTATGAGATAGTGATTTTTTTTTTGTATTATGTACTAGTATAATATGATCTTAGTGGATTTGCTTACTGCCATTCCAGTAGCATGCACATACACTTATTGATCTGTTTTGTATCTCATCGCTCCTTCACATTATAGAGGGATTTAGGGCTACTTCTAATTTCCAGGTAGAAGAGCTGGGGTCAGTTACGTTAACAAACTTCTTAGTGGTCACAATCAAAGTGGAACCAATGGAAATAAGAATTGTTGCTTTCTGGATAGTTCTTCAGTCTCACACTGCTGGAAATGCAGGTGTCAATGTGACCTCTTCTTCCATCTGTTTCAACAGGCTTCCGATGGAAGCAGCTCCAGAGAAGATCTTTCATCCCAACTTCTGAGAAGAAATGAACAGATACGGAAGTTAGAGGCCAGGCTTTCGGGTATGTCTAAGAAATCAAATGGCAAACACTAGGAGACTTGCCTCACTTGACCCTCTTGTCCAATCAAATAGTCTTACAGAATAACTTTATAGTTATTTTAACATAACATTTTGATCTTCTCAGTCAGAAAGGAGCAATCTGTACCCCCCACGTTCCCTTACTTTTTTAGTTTACTGAATAATGTAAATAAAACCTGAACTTGAAACTTTGTTTAAAAAAAAAAAAAAAATCTCATTTTTCTGCTCCTGAGGTTTCTAGCCATGGATACAAAAGGCATTAAAAATTTTATGTGGAGGCTGGGCATGGTAGTTCATGCCTGTAATTCCAGCATTTGGGAAACTAAGGCAGAAGGATCATGAGTTCCAGGCCAGTCTGTGCTGTCCAGTCTTAAACTCACTAGCAAGAATCTCTCAAGAAAAAAAACAGCAATAACTAAAAAAGCATGTATAGAATGTATTTGACCACCTTCCACCATTAGCATAATTACTTTCAGGGGGACAGAGATAGGTAGGGAATATGTCTTTAGGCAATGGCCAACTAGTGCTGGGTTCATCAGCTACAGAGGAGGTTTGGTGCCTGGTTGCCACTTCCTCTTGCTCATGTCATCTGTGCCAGTGTTATTCTGGGTCTTTGGGCTACTTTTCAGTGATATTCCTCACTTCGACACTTGCTTCTAAAGAAGCTGTAACTCTCATTACATCTCCATGTTCAGTACAATTTACACAATCTCCATTATCACATTTGTGATAGAATTGTGAGTTTCTACTAGCAGATACATTTTGACAGCTTCATCCTGTGAATGAATGGTCCATGGCTTCTGTGTCTCTTTTTGTCCCTTGGCCTTATGCCCATTTTAATGAAGTGAAAGCAGTAAACCAAAATTTCTCAAATTATATGTGAAATATTTGCATTTGTGTAGCTATCAAAAGTTCATAACTTAGTCCAACTATCAGTTAATCATTTTCTTCCCCATTGTTACCTTATTAGTCCTAGCAAGGTTAAGGTCACACAAATAATAAATGGTAGAGCTGTGATCCAAACTGAGATCTTAATGCTGGAGTCCATACTCTTAATTACAGTGTGCTTTAAGCTCTGTTGTTACTATCTTGTCACTTCTACCCATAAATGATGTACCTTCCCTAAAACAGAATGGAGAGGCTGCCAGAATGGCTTAAGTGGTAGAGTGCCTGCCTAGCAAGCATGAGGCCCTGAGTTCAAACCCTAGTACCAAAAAACAAAAGAAAAGAAAAAAACAGAATGGAGAATAGTTGGGCTTGGCTTATGATAGAGAGGGGACAGAGAAGAGACTTAATATTTATGGAGCCCCCTTAACATCCTAGATATTGTCCTACAGACTTAGTATGAATAACAATAATAACAAGAACAACTACATTTTAATGAGCACTGTGTTCCAAATACTTAAAGCATATAAAATACTTTATCTAATGCATCCTTTGAAGTAGGTACAATTAGTATCATCAGTTAATATATGAATAAAGTAATAGTCAGTATCATTAGTTTATTTAAAGTCCCCACTTAAGACTGACAGAGTTGGGATTTGACTTCTGCTTCCTTTTTCACTGTACTATATTGTTTGGCCACCTAGGTAATTCTGACTTTGACCTTTGGTAGGGCATATGTAAATCAGTTCCTGGGTAAAAAGGGAGCTCACTTGTCTAGAGATTTAAGTATCTATACCATAAAGGTAGTAATAACTAAGGGGTTTTCTCTTGCCCTAACCACTGTTCTTCGAGTTCCCCTAATCTGTTCTCCTACTAAGACCAAAAGGGGAACAGAATGCTGAGATTTAAAACTGGAGGTGTGGCTCAAATGGTAGAACCACCTTCCTAGCAAGCACAAGACCCTGAGTTCAAACCCTAGAACCACACAAAAAAGCTAATGAGACTAGGGATACAACTCCATGGTAAAGCACTTGCCCAATATGTGCAAAGCCCTAAATTTAATTCCCAGTACTACCGAAACTAAGTAATGAAATGATACTGTGTTTTTCATAGCAGGGCATTTCTTATGACCAGGCTCAGCCTAATTCTTGTTTTCTATGAAGGCTAAACAAATCTGCCTATTTGTATCCACTGTTTAGACCATGGATAGTTTGTACTATACCTGTTTGCCTGTGTCATTCATTGTTAATGGGAGGCTGTCTGCCTAGCTTTCCTTAACAGGACTGGTTTTCAGGTTGAGAAAGTCATCATCATTTTCACTCATTTTTTTGTTTAATTAACTTCCTTTCCTGATGTTTGTCCATTCCTGGTATGTGCGTCATCCTCCTCACCCAAGACTATGCTGAACAGGTCCGAAACTTGCAGAAGATAAAAGAGAAGCTTGAAATTGCATTAGAAAAACATCAGGATTGTACGTATTTTTTCCTGCTTTTTTCAATCTTTCCAGGCTTTAGCTTTTGAAATGAAACAATAATATATCATTAAATTTGTCCTTCATCAAAACTCATATCTTTATTTTATAGTGTTCTTCTTAATCAGGTTGATAAGACTTTTGTCAGACATTTATGAAGTATAAACTCATGTTTATGTTGCTTTGTGGGCATGCTTCTTAGGAGGGGGTCATTATGTTTGTCATCTTGTCTCTATCCAGCTGACCAACTTATTGGCTGCACTTCAGTTTTAGTAAAATCTAGTACCTGACCCTTGGGTCTAGACTAGGAGATGATTGTAACCCTAACTACTACTACTGTCTTGAGTAATGGGGTAAAACTCTTGTTACTGCTCCCCCCAACAAGAGAATATCTAAATCAGGTGTGCTCCTTTTGATACTATCCAAAAAAAAGATGCTAATGCAAGTACAAAGCTATTTTTCTGTAGATATAAACTAAAAAAAATTTTAAGTAAACTAGAGGACAGTTTTAGTTTTTCTTTGTTTCAATTTTCGATTTTGTTTTCAATTCTGATGAAGGGATAATAGCTGTTACTTAGTAGCAGCATTGGTGTTTTCTGGCAACCTGCCTGAAGTGTTTTGTTGTGTACCATTTAAAAAGTTACCTTTTGATATCTTCCTCAGTGTGTATGCTTCACTACTACAGAAAATAAAAACAAGGACCCTAATAAGCAAATGAAACTGTAGTCTATGACCAAGGCCAATTCTGGGAAGTTGAGATGGAGCAGGTTTTTCACAGTCTCGTAATCCACTTACGTGACTTTGGCTTTTTTCATTTGGTGACATTTGCAAAGTAATCCCATGGGCTGTTTGTCAGACTGTTTCTGAAGTATTTCCCTATCTCAAATAGAGCCTCTTTGTTAACAGCTTCCATGCGGAAATTTCAAGAGCAGAATGAGACATTCCAAGCCAACAGAGCCAAAATGGCAGAAGGACTGGCTTTGGCATTAGCCAGAAAGGACCAGGTATTTATATGTGGCACTGCCCAAGACTGGTGGAAAGAGTTCATATAGTGACGTGACTTCAAAAATCATGATATAAGCCAAGCACCAGTGGCTCACGCCTATAATCCTAGCTTCTCAGGAGGCAGAGATCAGGAGGATCATGGTTCAAAGCCAGCCCAGGCAAATAATTCTCAAGACCCTATCTCAAAAAAAAAAAAATCAAAACCATCACTAAAAAGTGCTGGTGGAGTGGTTCAAGATGTAGAGCCTGAGTTCAAGCCCTAGTACCACAAAAAAAATAAAATAAAAAATAAGTTTATTTGGTAGAAATAATACTTGGTAGAAAGTATTTACAACCTAGGAGAAATAAATGATATACAAGTTCTTCAAGGTTTCATTTGACCTGTCTTTTAAAGTCAAACTTGACAGTTTTAATTACGAAATGTGTATAGAATGTGAGCGTATCATTCTCTGGATCTGGGTGACTTTGTAGAGGAGGGAAGTAGCACTCTATAACCTCCTGGTGAGCTCCAAAATAAGGGAAAAGGTCTCTGCCCCTTAAAAGCCTGCCTCCAACTCTAGATCCCCAGATATTTGCCTCTAATGATGAAGATGGGGTCACACTAGTCAGAATGTGCACGGTCTTCCAGTCTCCATCCCTGAGTGTCCTCAAGTCCAGCCCACTTGACAGAGGGGAGATTCTGAATTTCTCCAGAACCAAACACTGAGAGATGCTAGGAATGGCAACAAGAAAGGAAAATAATGCTACTACTGGCTATTATAATAATTATGAAGTATATTTTGTTTTAAATTTGAAACAAGCATCAGTGTTTCATAATAATAATCTTGATGTATTACAAGTTAATTTATTAGGCTTCATTTAAGAAAATGTGTAATTACATTTGTACATGGAATCAATGCTAGGAATCTCCCTGTATAGCTATCCTTATCTCAACTAGCAAAAAATGCTTTGTCTTTCTTATTATTGTTTATACTCTCTCTTCAACAAAATTAGAGATAAGGGCAGAACAGTTTCTGCCTGGAAGCAAGGGGGGGGGGGTCGGAGGAGGAGGGGGAGAAATGGCCCAAACATTGTATGCACATATGAATAAACAAAAAAAAAAGAAAATGTGTAATTAATTTAATGAACAGTAGTGGAATGGTTGGTTTGTTTTAAAGTAAATATAATAAAGGGTTGGGCATGACTCAGTGGTAGAGTGCCTGCCTAACAAGCATGAGTCCTGAATTCAAACCCCAGTACCACCAAAAAAGGAAGATACAAAAAGTATATGTTTGTCAACTAGAACATTTGCTAGCCATATGTTCACCACAAATGGTGGTAAACTGGTGGAATGGCTCAAGGAGTAAAATGCCTGCCTAGCAAGCATGAGGCCCCTAGTTCAAACCCCAGTATGGCCCAAAAAAATTCCAAAAATATACTCAGTGGATAACTTTGGTGTGAATATTTATAAAAGAAGAAATAATCTAAAATTGATGGACTCTCATTGTAGATAATAAAGATACGGCCTTTTGTGACAGTGGTTATTTTAGCCCTATTTTGTGGTTTAGAATAAGTACAAGTAGTATCCCTTTTCTGTTGACATATACCAGAGGGCATAAAGTATGTTGGTAAATGAACACAAGTGGGAAAATAATTATCAAGTACTGCTGACAATGTCCCCACCACTTTCAGTAAATGAATTTCTAAACATCAATTGCAAAGTGACCCAACTCATCTGGTTCTAATTCCCACTCCGGAGAAATAATAGCAGTACTCAAGGGAGAACACTCAGGAATAAGCCCTGCTTAGTGGAGGTCTGCAGGCTCATCCTGTGTCCTAGAATTTGATGTAATGCTCATTTTCTCCTCCTTTTAGAACCCCTCGCTTTCTTAATATTAAGCCAAGTTTATGGGGTATTGTTTTGCTTTTGTTTGGTTCATTTGTTGCTATTAAGGGGAGTTGTTTTGTTTTCTGAAAGTCTTAATAAACAGTCTTTCCAATAAACTACTTCCTGTTGTTTTGTTTTAGGAATGGTCAGAAAAGATGGATCAACTTGAAAAGGTTAGTTCATCTTTATTTTTGTTTTATTAATGTGATCTCATTTCTAGAAACAAGTGGGTGGAAGAAGAATATGATCAAGATGTTTATTCCCCATCTTTGTCCATGTAGGTCCTTTTGGGTTCCTTACATCCCATGGCCAAAAGTCACAACATCATTTGGACCTTTGGTTCAGATGGACCTTTTGACACGCTTTTTTTGTTTTGTTTTGTTTTTTCTCCCCTCTGGGTTTCTTGTAACCTCTTCATCCTTTGGCCCTTTCTATCCACTTTATCTCTTTTAGGCTTTCTTATCCAGCCCACAACTTTGATAAATCCTTTTATTAACTCATCCTCAGGATACCTAATTTGAATGTGCCATTTTTAACCTCCTGGGGTCCTGATTGGTCCTCTGGTAACTCTGGGAATACCTCCTGACAAAGCAGAGAAACCAGAGCATTTCTCAATTCTCAGCCTTGAGCAGATAAGAGAACCACTTGGATAGACACAGATGAGATTATCCTAGGACCATAGCTCTAGACTAGGCTACATGATAAGACTTTGTCTCAAAAAAAATCCACCTGTGTATTAGAGATTTCTAATGTTTAGTTGCCTGAATTGATGTCTTCTTTTTCCAAATAGGAGAAAAAGTTTCTGACAGCTCAGTTGCAGGAAGTGAAGAACCAGAGTTTGAATCTTTTCCAAAAGAGAGATGAAATTGATGAATTAGAGGGGTTCCAGCAACAGGAACTAAGTAAAGTAAAACACATGGTATGCAGTTTCCTTTTAAAAGCCAAATGCTATAAACAACACTATAGAGTAGTATATACTTACTGATAATTTACTCTTCATTTTGCTAGTCATCACTCCTAATTGCTGATAAACAGACTCAAGTAGTCTTTGATATTAATCATATTTCAATGTTTTTAAAGTTAATAAAATGGAGAAGTTCTGTTTGAAATGTATTTCCTTTACCATGTGTTTAAGTACTAGGCATATAAACCCCCTTCTAATTCCACAAAAATGTTATAAAACTATTCATTTTGTCAAAGTATATTTCTTGTTAGTAGCCTAATGAAACTTTATGTCATTGTATCAGCTTTTAAAAAAAGAAGAATGTCTAGGGAAAATGGAACAAGAATTGGAGGCACGAACCAGAGAACTCAGTCACACTCAAGAGGAGTTGGTGACTTCCAGTCAAATGTCCTCTGACTTAAGCCAGAAGCTAGAAGAATTGCGGAGACTCTATTCAACGCTGGAAGAGCAGAGGTTCTTGCTTGGTCTGTGGGACTCTTGGGCAGAGGTGTTGATGTAGCCCTGGCTATATATGCTCCCCACCTGTCCCCATTGCTCTTCGCAGCACTTTTTGAGTTCAGTGCTGCCAGAGGCTTCTGGATTTGTCCTTACCTGCTTAAGACCTAAGCCCTCAACTCTGTCCCACCACAAACACTCTCTCCCCTTCACCTGCCTAGGCTTAGGTCCATTCCAGTCTTGCTGAGCAGTTCAGTGTGATTTTAGATGTAAAGTTATTGAGGTTCTCTTGGAGCTTCTGCTTCATAGAAAGCCATGGAATATTTTCCACTGATAACCTTCATCTGGCTAATAATGTTTGAAGCCTGATGTATAAGGAACCATCTGTATTTTTCCTTTGGAGAGTGTATTGTAGATGAGATATCCAAATTTGTTCATTGTCTGCTTTCTTTCAATAAAGAGATCATGTGACAGCTTCAAAAGCAGGTGCAGAAAATAAGATCACAGCCCTGGAACAAAAGGAACAAGAACTCCAAGCATTCATTCAGCAACTTTCCATTGATTTGCAGAAGGTAGGTAAAGAACGATCAGTGGATCTGGGTTCCTAGAATTCATGAATAGGGATTTAAAACTAATTCTGTCAGAAATTTCATTCTCAGGGTGGCTACTAAAAGGTGTGTTTCTCATATGGTCCACATTGTCTTACTTCCGGTTCTAGCCAAGCTACACACATATGGGATAGCTATCCTACTGCCCAGAGTTGCTTCACAGAAAAAGACAGTATTGCTGGGAGTGTTGGTCGATGCTTGTGGTTCCAGCTACTCAAGAGGATGAGGCAGAAGAATCACTTCAGCCTAGAAAGTTCAAAGCCAGCTTGGGAAACATGACAAGAACCTTTCTTTTAAAAAGAAGGGAGGGGGGAGAAATAAGGAAAACCAAAAGAAAAGGACAGTATTGTACTGATAGGAATTTTCAAAGCATACTATTTGTGGATGCTTTGTTTTTGAAATGGGGTCTCACTGAATTGCCCAGGCTGACCTCCAACTCACAAACCTCACACCTCAGCCTCCCAAGTAGCTAGTATTGTAGGCATGCACCATGGTACCCAGCTAAAGCACACCACTTGTTCTACTCTTCTTTTTTTTTTTTTTTGTGGTAATAGGGCTTGAACTCGGAGCCTACACCTTGAGCCACTCCACCAGCCCTTTTTTGTAAAGGGTTTTTCCAAGATAGGGTCTCACAAACTATTTGCCAGGGCTGTCTTTGAACCTGGAGCCTCCTGATCGCTGCCTCCTGAGTTGCTAGGATTACAGGCATGAATCACTGGTGCTTGGCTGATGTATCTTATGGGACTGGGAATATGACTCAGTGGTAGAGAATGTGTCTAGCATGCATGAGGCCCTAGGTTCAACCCCCAGTACTACAAATAAAATTCAGGTCTTAAAGTACCTAAGTACATGATGGACCTTGAACATACAAAAACATAACAATCATGGTTGATGTGGCCAGGGTTGTACCTTTGATATTCCTGGCTCTAATCCAGTTTGTTCACGTGATCAGGTAGTCTCATTAAAATCTGCTTTCCATTTAGTTAACATAATGCCCTACTCTAGGCCTTGGCTAAATTCTGGAGATACAAAGATTAACAATAGTAATATTAAATCAGTGACATGTTCCTTATTGCCATTTTGAGCAGAACAACTTGTTTCATATAATTGTTCCTTACATTGTAAGGCTTTTAGCTTTCCTGGCCTCTGGGTTTTAAGTGCCAGCAATATTTTTTAATCATTGACCATCCAGCCCTTCTCTTGTGACAAAACATCCTCTATATATACCACCCATCCTACCCTCATGTCTTGAGACATGCTTATCTCAAATGATACAGAGACTTATAACATCTTATAGTATAGTAAGATTTGTGTAAACTAAAGTTGTATATCCAAGTGGAAACTAAGGAACATGTTTTACAGTGTCAGGGTTGGGGATATGCCAGAGTGCCTGACTAGCAAGCACAAGGCCATAAGTTCAAACCCAGTACTGCCAAAAAAAAGCACCCAGTAAGTCTATCTTACATAAATGAATGACTGTGATATAGTCCCTACCTTCAGTTAACTTAAAATCTAGACACATACATTGTTTTCCCTGAGAGGTTTATAGTTTCATCACAGAACTCAAACTCTTTCCCCCACCACTGCCGGTACTGGGTTTTGAACTGAAGGCCTACACCTTGAGCCACTCCACCAGCCCTTTTTAGTGAACGTTTTTTTCTGAGAAGGGGGTCTTGCACACTTATTTGCCCAGGCTGGCTTTGAACTTTGATCCTACTGATCTATGCCTCCTGAGTAGCTAGGATTACAGGCATGAGCCACTGCTGCCCGGTGAGCTCAAATTCTTGTATCCATAAGAATAAAGTTGACTAACGATTCTAGCCCTAAATAAGTCAACTAGATTTTTCAAGTACAAAAGGTAGGTCAAGGGGGAAAGCATTTCTAGCCCAAGAAGCAAGGGAGTCTTCCTGAAGAAAGTAGAATGATGAGGACAGCAGGAGGCAGAGAAGGCAGAAGTATATAGAGTCCATTTGAGGTAGTAGGTGAGGAGCATAATAGACACATAACTTTTTAATTCACAGGATCTTTGGTATCCATTAGAACCATCCATTGTTTTTATAGGCTGGAAAAAAGAAGCTCAGAGAGGTCTAGAATGTGGTCGCAGTAAGTTGCCACATTCTTCCAGAAAATATTAATTGAGCCTTCGTATGTGCTACCCTCTGAGCTAGGTGTTAGAAATACCATGGTGAGCAGAATAGTTAAGCCCTTGTTTGTCAGTGATGCATTTAGTCTCCCGGGAAGTCAGACTAACCAGTAATCACATCAGTATATAATTACTAGCTTTGACAAGGGTTCTGAAGGAAAACTACCAAATGCTGTGGAATCCTATTACAGGGCATCAAATCAGATCTAGTCTTAGATTTATACAGTGGTTCCCTTTAGGAAGTGACACCTGATATACTGCTGGGGCTGAAGGGGAAGGGATGATGGGAGAGAATGTCAAGCAGGGAACAACATGAACAAAAACTCAGGCAATTAAAAAAACTGGCACTTTCAAGAACCTGGAAGGCCAGGAGGGTGGCACACAGAGTAAGAATGGTTTATTCTGGCTGTTAGGAGACATACCAAAAGGGCCTTCCAAGAGGAAGCCTTTGCACTTGTCCTACCATGAGATGATGCTGGTTCTGACAGAGTGTTGATGAAAATAACTAGAGGTGGAGAAATTTAAGAAACACTGAGAAGACTGACAAAATTGCTAAGGTAGCAGTCATAGGAGATGAGCAAGAGAGGAGGAGGCCCTAGGGATTTCTGGGCTTTCTGGCTTGATGAACTGAGTCATTGTTCTCAGAGAGCACTGCAGGAAGAACTTCACTGTAGTATGAAGATCATGAATTTGGAATAGTTTTTTGTTGTTGTCCTCAACTTCATAAAATTTACAAGTTTATAAAATATGAGTAAGGTAGAAAGTGTAACAAAGCAAGGAATCCTCATATATCTACCTTCCATGTTTAAAAAAAAGTGTTTATCTTTGAGGTTCTCTGTCTGCCTCTCACTACTCTACATTGTTCTTTCGGAAAAGTGGTAGCCAAAAAATTGTTTCAGTCCTTGGTTTCTTTGTTTTATAATTTATATATATTTTTTCTTTTTATTTTGGTGGCATTGGGGTTTGAACTCCAGGGCTTGTGGTTGCTAGGTAGATGCTTTTACTGCTTGAGCCACTCCACCAGCCCTTTTTTTGTGAGGAGTTTTTTCAAGATAGGTTCTCACAAACTGTTTGACCAGGGCTGGCTTTGAACCATGATCCTCTTGATCTCTGCCTTCTGAGTAGGTAGGATTACAGATGTGAGCTACTGGCACCCGGCAAGCACCTTGCTCTCTAAAACTTACTTTTTATGCCCAACTTTTTATGTTCCTGAAAAACATTCATATGCTACATATAGCTATAATTTATTCTTTTCTCAACTGTATAGAATGGATATACCAGCATTCATTTATACATTCTATTGATAATGAGCATTAGGGTTGTTTCTGGTATTTACTATCATAAACAATACATTTGTCGGATTGTGCAAGAGGTAGTCTAGCCATGTGTATGCGATGTGAAAAGCATAAGATGTGTGATAGGTACATTTTCAACTTGATTAGCTAATGCCCTGTTTTTTCCCACAGTAACTGCGATTTACACACACCCCACCAACAGTAGAAATTGCTCTGGGGTTTGAATGCAGGGCATTGCACTTGTTAGGCAGGCACTCTACTACTTGAGCCACACCCATAGCCCTTATTTGCTTTGATTTTTTTTTTTTTTTCAGATTGGTCTTGTCTTTTTCCCTGGGGCCAACCTCAGACCTAATCATCCTACCCAGGGCTTCCTGGTTTCCCTCATAACTGGGATAACAGGCATCCACTACCACACCCAGCTTACTAATTTAGATGGGGGGGGGTCTCACTAACTTTTTTCCCTTGCAGCCTTAAACCTTGATCTCCTGATCTCTGACTTCCAAGTAGCAGAGTTTACAAGGGTGAGGCACAGCAACCAGCCCTCTTTTGAGTATTTTTTGATGTTGTTGGCACTACTGGGGCTTGAACTCAGGGCTTTCGTGCTAGGTAGACACTCTACCACTTGAACCATGCCTCCAGCCCATTTTGTGTTGATTATTTTTGAGGTAAGGGCTCACTTTTTTTGGAGTAAAAGTAATAGTAAAGTTTATTAGAAAAGGTTTTTATAGTGAAGGTGATAATAAGTTTATTAGAAAGGGAATATACTTTAGTAGACTGAAAGCAGGTCATCTCTAGAGAGAGAACAAGACTGGCCTAGGAAAGGAGTTTAGTATAACAGGATGAAAGTAGGAAGAAACGGGGAAAAAAAGGAGAATCATTTACTTCTCCCCATGTAGGAAATGAGAATAAAGACCCTAGGGTCTCACTTTTATGCCCCTAGCTGGCCTATACTAGGATCCTACTAGTGCTTCCCCTCATAGTTTGGGGTGACAGGTGTGTACCACCATGCCCAACTGTTTGTTAAGATGGGGGTCTCTTGGACATTTTCCCTGGCTGGCCTCAAACCGCAATCCTTCCAATATTTTTTTTTTAAACTTCTTTTAGTGGGGATGGGGTTTAAACTCAGGGCCTCATGGTTACAAAGCAGGCACTCTACCTCTTGGGCCACATCTCTAGTCCATTATTTTGAAGATGGGGCCTCACAAACTATTTGCCCAGACTAACCTCAAACCTTACTCCTCCTGATCTCAGCCTCCCCAGCAGCTAGAACTACAGGCATGAGTCACTGGCACCTGGCCTTCTTTTGAGCTTCTTATAGTGGTCATAGTATCTGTGAATATGTCAGTTTGTTTGTGACAAGTTTTTACTATATAGCCCAGGCTAGCCTTGAACTCACAATCCCCCTGCCTCAGCCTTCTGAGTCCTGGGATTACAGATAAGCTCTACTATACCTGGTTTAGTTCTGTTTCTTTCTAATTCATACACCTTTTTTTCCCTTGCCATATTCTGTTAGCTAAGATACCAGAAATAGCATTGAACATAATTTATAAAAGCAGTCACCCTTATCTTATCCTTTGTCTCCAATATGTTGCCAACAAATATTTTATTTTCTGTGGATATTTTTTTGTAAGTCAGTCATACAACAGAATGCTCACTTTTCCAGTCTATAGCATATTGAGCTTTGAGAAATGTATCTATGGAGCTACTACCACAATCAAGATATAGAAAATTTCTTTAACTCCAGAAGATTCCCCTGTGCCCCTGACAGTTGATCCTCACTCTGAACTCTTGGCAACTACTGATATACTTTCTGTCACTTTAGATTAGAATAATTGAGCTGGATGCAATGGCACTGGATTATAGACCAGCTACTCAGAAAAGAAAAAAAAAAAATAGACCAGCTACTCAGGAGACTGTGGTGGGAGGATCAAACAACAAGACCTGTCTCAAAAAAAAAAAAAAGGGCGGGGGGAGGGTGGAGAAAGGGAAGAAAGGAGGGAGAGAGGAAGGAAGGGAGGGAGAAGGAAAATTGAGCCAGGTGGTACATATATGCTAAACTTTATAAGAAATTGGTAAAACTGTTCACCAAAGCAGGTAAACCACTTTACATTCCCACCAGCAATAATTCAGGTTGCTTCATTCTCACCAACATTTGTTGTTTTCATTTAGGCATTCAAGTGAGTGTGTATTAATGTCTCGTTGTGATTTTAATTTGCATTAATGACATAGAACATCTTGGGCTCGTTGGCCATTTATCTTTTGTAAAATGTCTGTTGGGTCTTTTACTCACATTTATTGGGCTTCTTTGTAGTGAGTGGTAAGAATTCTTTATATATTACGGATGCAAGTTGTCAGATACGTGTATCTGAATGTGGCTTGCCTTTTCATTTTCTTTACAGTATCTCTTAGAAAACAGACGTATTTGACTTGAGAAAGTCAGACCAAATTTGTTTTTATTAATTCCTTCTATGTTGTATTTAAAGAAGTCTTTGGCTACCCAAAGGTCTCAAAAGGTTTTTCTTTATGGTGTCTTCTAGAACAGTGGTTTTCAAAGTATGGTTCTTGGTCCCCTGCCTGAGACCTGTCAAGAGGGCTGTGAGCAGCCAGGCATGGCGGCTCAAAAGTATAATCTCAGCCACTTGGAAGGTAGAAATCAAGGGAATCTCAGTTTGAGGCCAACCCAGGCAAAAAGTTAGTGAGACCCCCTATCTCAACAAAACAAGTGGGGTGCTGGGCATATGGCTAAGTGATAGAGTGCCTGCCTAACAAGCACGAAGCAATGAGTTGAAACCCTAGTACCCAGTGCTGCAAAAAAGCAAAAACAAAAAACACCCAGGTGTGGTGGTATGCACCTGTCATTCCAGCTATGCAGGAGACCATGTGTAGGAGGAATCACATTTCAGGGAAGATGGCCTGGCTGTATGTCTTTCTAGGATGCAGTTGTAAACAGAATTTCATGAAAACTTGGTGGTCCAAGAAAAGACAGGAAAGAGGGGAGAGAGTGATACAGTATAATATATTCTCTGCTTCCCGGCAGGTCACTGCTGAAACTCAAGAAAAAGAAAAACTCATCACACATTTGCAAGAGAAGGTCACATCCTTAGAGAAGAGATTGGAACAGAACTTATCAGGAGAGGAACATGTGCAGGAACTCTTGAAAGAGGTAATGTGTGTTCTCCTTATGCCACTGCCATCAGACAGGCAGTGGTGACTCTTGGGATTTCACCTTAGTTTTCAAGCTAAAGGTCAGCAGACCAGCTGAGTGAGAGACAGCTCTTTCCAACTTTCTGTAGCTGTTTTGGCCCTGAACTCCTGGGCTCAAGTGATCCTTTTATCTCACCCTCTTGAGAAGCTTGGACTATAGGCATACACCACCACACCTAGGTTCGTATCCAACTTTAGCTTGTTCTGCTTACATCAAAAACAGTCTTACAGCTAGGTACTGGTGGCTTATACCTGTAACCCTATCTACTTGGGAGGCTGAGATAAGAGGATCATGGTTCAAGGCCAGGTTGGGCAAAAAGTTCATAAGACCTCAAGTCAATAAATAGCTAGATGCAGTAGGGCACGCCTTCATCCCAGCTACATGGGAGACTGAAAGCTCAAGAGGTTCATGATTCCAGGCCGGCCTGGGAAAAAGTTTGTAAGACCCCCATCTCAACAGATAAAAGCTGAGTGTGGTGGTATATGCATATCATCCCAGCTATGGCAAGAAGCATAAAATAGAATCGCTGTCCAGGCCAGCCTGAGCAAAAAGTGAGACCCTATCTCAGGAAAGGAAAGGATACTGAGGGGTAAAGAGGACAGAAGTATGCCAAATACATGTCTATATAAATACAGCATAATGAAACCCACCAAACACTGTTTGAAAAATGGGGAAGAGGTATAATGGAGCAGGTAAACTTGCTTAAAGTACACTCTATGCATGTATGAAATTATCACAGAGGAACTCCCTGGGATTATTAATGTATGCTGATTCAAAGATAAAAGTACTGGAGGCATGGCTCATAGAGTAGAGCACCTGCCTAGCAAGTACAAAGCCCTGAATTCAGACCCCAATAACACCAAACCCCCCCTCTCCCCCCGAAAAAAGAAAAAAAAAAACAGCCTTGTAGACCTGTATGTTTCTTAAGGAAGGTAGAAGCTTTATTCAGAGATAGCTGTGAACAGATCATATCCTGATCACATGGTGATTTACACATTTGAGTTGTCTTGTCTCACTGCGCTGCTCTTCCTTACCCTGTCAACTCTCCAATGGGCAAGGAAAATAGTTACCATCTTCCATCTCCCTTAGGCATAAGCAAGAATTACCTTGGGCCAAGGATTCTCCTCAGCTGAGATTGCTGTTGAACAGACTGGCCTCTTGCCTCATGGTGTAGGCAAACTTTCTCATCAGGCCTGAGCTCATTCTCTGCACACATTCTGTCCCTCCTTCTCTTTGTAGCTCAGTAATTGGCCTCATCATGACAAAGGTGACTGCCCAGGCTTTGGGGCACATCCTAGAGTAGACTCACTATGTCTCCAGTCAGTTTCAGCCAAATGTGTCTATCTCCCCTGCTACTGTTGTGCTCCAGGCTTCCAGCAACACTGTGCTAGTGTGCATTGGAAATCTCCAGACTGGCCCACCCAGTATCTCTTTCACCCTTAACAGTCTTCCTGCCAAACTGATTTTCCTGGACCACATTTCTGACCATATCACTCCCTACAATCTTCCATAATTCTCTTCCACATCTACACTGAATATGATAGTAATTTCTAGAATCAGATGCCCCTTTGTATCTTGCTTCTTCTACTTACAAGCTGTGACTTAGACAAGTGACTTGATCTCTTTGTGGTTGTTTCCTCCTCTACAAAATTGCATTTCTTACTTTACCAAACACAGAATTGACTCAGAATTGTTGTTAGTATTAATTAGTATGTCAAGTGCTCAGAATGATGATTGGAACATGGTAGTCTTAATACATGTCAGCTGTTAACATAATCATTGTTGTGCCATTATGATTATTGTCAAGTTTAGAGTGCATAGGAGTTTTTTGGGAGTATGTTTAAAGCATATATTATCTGGCCCTACCCCCAAGAAATTCTGATTTTATTAGGCCTAGAATAAGGCATCAAGTTTAACCAGCCATCCCAAGTAAATTTAATGCCAGGGTTTTGAAGAGACCCTATTTGAATAAAGTTCAGGGCGGGGGGTACCACAAGTGGTAGAGCACCTGTCTAACAAGTTTGAAGCCCTGAGTTCAAACCCAATACCAAAAAAGAGAAAAAAAAACCAGGATAAAAGTTCAAACTCCCTTTTGTAGCATTAAAGAGCCTGTCACTGTCTGATCCTTTTGCCCAACTTTATAGTCTCATTTCTTAATCTAAATCCACTGTGCTTTGGCTTCTGAGATGTTGTAGTTCCCAGAAGGGGCAAGGTCTTCACAACTTCCTCGCCCATGGATGCTTCCCCAGCTCCTGGCCACTTGTGAATTGGGAAACTCGCACTGGTCCTGCCGCCCTGTCTCCACTTAGTACACCCTCTTTGCAGTGTTTATACTCTAGTGTTTGGTTTTTTCGTTGTTGTTATTGTTAGTTATTTGCCCCAGCCTCAGGGACAAAGGACTATGGCAATTTGTGTGTGTGTGCTTTATGATATGTGGATTATATCCTAATTTGCTGGTGGTGGGGTGTGGGGGGATCTGTTTGCATCCCCTTTGCATAGGACAAATCATAGCATGTTGCAGGCATCAATTAATATTATTCAATGAAAAATGACTATTTTCTTTTACTCATTTTTTAACTTACAGAAAACAGTTGCCGAACAGAATTTGGAGGACACCAGACAGCAGCTCTTGGCAGTCAGAAACAGCCAGGCCAAAGCCATTGACGTTCTGGAGACTCGGGTACTGACCTTACTCCCTGTGTTTTCTCTATTTGGGTATTCACCTGGTTAGATGACATGTGTGGCTAAGAATCCCCTTGATCAGAGCTTTTTCATTTCAAGGGACTATTTTTTGGATCTTACACAGGATTTAGTTAGTTACTTTCTTCACTTTTGTCACATTACTATCATTGTTCCACACAAAGTTGTTTTCTTATTTTTTTATCTCGCTATTCACGTTGGCCCCTCCTATAGGGAAATGTGGTTAATATAGATTATTTTATTGTGAAATTAGCCTTAAAATGAGAAACAATGTTTTATATGTATTAGTTTTTACTTTATGTAAAAGATATAGCTATGGCTTTGTCTTCTCTGTTACTTTCAACTGCTCAGTCTTCCGTCTGTGTCTGCTTGGTTGTGCTTACCTGCTGTGCTGTGTAGTTATCTACTACATGCCAGAGAGACATCCAGTCAGTCACCTTCCTCTCCCTGCCAGGTCACACTGCAGTGGACAGCCTTTCCCAGTGTCCACTAAGGAAGGTAGAAAATGTGACTAAGTAGGAAACACACAGTTCCTAGGAGGGCTGCACCTGATTCTTCTCTTTAGCATACATGAAGGTTCCTAAATCTCCATTCCTCTTTTCCAGCACTGGCCTGTCACAGCTTGTAGGGTTTGTTTTGTTTTTTGCCACTTAGTGAGTGTGAAGTGATATTTTCATTGCTATGTTAATTAATAAAGTTTCTCCTTTTAAATTGTCCACTCATAACCTTTGCTTTTCTTTGGGGGCTTCAAGTTTATATTTGGTTTGTAGGATTTCATTGTGTATTCTAGTTCCTAATCTTTTGTCAGTTTCAATGCTGAACCAGTCTGTTGACTTTGTACATGTAGCTCCATCTTCCTGACCTCAGCCTCCCAAATAGCTAGGATTACAGGTATAAGCCACTGGCACCAGGCTTCCCTTACTGTTTTTGATACCTTTTTTTTTTTGTTTTGGTGATGATAGTGGGGTTTGAACACAGGACTTCATGCTTGTGAGGTGGGTGTTCTACTGCTTGAGCCATACTTTCAACCCCATGTAATTCTGAAGTTTTACATAATTCTTTACTTATTTGCTACATGAGTTGAAGTTCTGTTTAAGAAATCCATTGTTGCTCCTAAGTCAGAGAGATATCCCATGTTTTTTGTATCAATTTTATAATTTTGACCTTCACTTAATCTCCAGTTCATGTACAGGTAGACCCTCTTTCTGTGGTATTAAGTAAGGCTCCAGCTTTACTCAAAGTTTCTCAAGATGGATCCTTTTTTTTTTTTCTTTTTGCTGGTACTAGGGTTCTAACTCATGGCCTCATGCTTGCTAGGCAGTCACTCTTACACATGAGCCACTCCACCAGCCCTTTTTTGTGATCTTTTAATTTTTTTTTTTTTCAAGATAGGTTCTCACAATGATTTGTGTGTGTTGGCTTTGAACTGTGATACTCCTGATCTCAATCTCTGAAGTAGCTAGGGTTATAGATGTGAGTCACTGGCATCCAGCTGAAGGTAGACCTTTAAAGTTTTTAATTTTTTGAGTTCCTAAAATATTCAGTCAAAGTGAATTTTTATTGAGATTGCATTAAATGTGCATACTATATGGGAGAATTACTGTTTTTGGTAGTTACTAATTGCTTCTAAAAATATAAGTAAATTCCATTTACTCAGATTATTTTGTGTTCTTTGCTAAAATTTTACATTTTTCCCAGTATATATCTTACTTTCTTGGCTGAGCTATTAATTCCCAGAACTCTTAGTTTATGATATCTTATTTTTAATTTTTTAAAAATTGGTTATTATTTCAATTGGTTTTTTGTTGTTTTTTTTTTTTGCAGTGCTATAGATTGAACCCAGGGCCTTGCACATGCAGGACAATTGCTTTAGCACTGAGCTACATACCCAGCCCCAAAATGCTATATTTTTAGTTGATTTTGTATATTGCACCCCTGCTGACATCTCTTATTCTGATATTGTATAATTTATTTTGTTTTTCCTAGGCAGATAATCATATCAGCTACCAATAATGGCAGCTTTATCTTCCTCCAATCTTTCTACCTCCTATTCCTTCTGTCCTCAGCATCTGCAAGGGTCTCCAGTCCTATACTGAACAGTGGCAGTGATAGTAGGCATCCTTGTTTTGTTCACAGTCTTAAAGGGAATGTGCCTGACGTTTCTTCATTTGCTATGAAATTTGCAGTAGGTTTTTTGTATTTAATCTTTATAAAGTTAAGAAGGTTTCCTTCTAGTTTGCTTAAATCATAAACATACGGAAATCTATTATGCTTTCTTTGTATTGATTGGGAAAATCACAATTTTTCCTTTGGTTTACATATATGGTTAGTTACATTAGTAGATTCTCTGATGAACCATTGTCATATCAGATTTCTGGATTACAACTCTTGATGTATTAGTTTTATAGTAAACATCTCAATTTAGTTGCCTGATATTTTATTTAGAATTTTTACATCTATGTTTATGGTTGAGTGGACCCTGGGCCTTGCACATGCTAGAGAAGTGTTTTACCACTGAACTCCACCCCAGCCCCAGTGTGCAAGATTTTTGTGTGAACTTGCACCCAAGAGTAGAATTGCTGAGTCATGTGGTAGCCCTGTATTTAACCTTTTGGTGATGTGAATCTTCCTTGAGCTCTGCCTCTAAATTGAGGCTTGGCTGGATATTTTCTGAGTTTCAAAAGCTGGATTTGAGTCCTGGCTCTGCCACTAATAAATCATGGACTACTAACATTACTGTTTGCCTGTGTAGAAATACTAAAACCCTATTCATGGGTGCTTTTTTTTTTTTTTTTTGGTACTGGAACTTGAACTTAGGACCTACACCTTGAGCCACTCCACCAGCCCTATTTTTTGTGAAGGGTTTCTCAAGATAGGATCTTGTGAACTCTCTGCCCAGGGTGACTTCAAGCCGAGATGTTCCTGATCTCTACCACCTGAGTAACTAGGATTACAGGCATGAGCCAATAGCGCCTGGCTCCATGGGCTATTTTAATTAAATCTTCTGTGTGAATGTATGTAAGGAATCTGAGCTTTAAAACTATCCTTCTCAGCTAGCCCCAGCACTGCAAAAAAAAAAAAAAAATAGCTATAGTTAAAAACATAGATATATATCCTCAAGCTAGCTGTAACTCAGTGGTAAAGTGCTTGCCTAGCATGTGTGAGGCCTGGGTTCCATTCTAAGCCCTGGAAAAAAGAAGATGCTTCCCTCTTCTTTGCCAGGCTACAGCCTTCTGGTGCTTACATTTCAGTAGTAAGTCTCCTCAAGGCCAGACTGTTCTGCAAGCAAGAGCGCTTTCTGAGGGAACTTGGCAAAGGAAGCTTCAGTCAGATAAAATTGCCACCTTGGAGAGCTCAGTCCCACGCAGAACTGGACAGTGACTCTCATGGGTCAGGCTGTGTCTGTCCTACTGCAGAACCAGGAAAATAGTCAGACTTGGTCAGTATTTGTGGCCTGAGTAAAACCGAAATTCATACTGTGAGCAGTAATCGTATTTCTAGGAATCTGTCCCAAGAAGTAATTCAAAACTAGGTCAAAAAATTTTGGGTGGGGCCGTTAACTACTACATTATTCTAAATGGAAAAATATGGAAAACAACGCAGGTGCCAGTATAATAGGCAGATGGGTTAGTAAAGTATGAAATACTCTTCAAGGAAATAATAATCTAAGGTCTAAAGATTGCATGGAAACACAAAAAGGAAAATTTATGAGTGTGTGGGAACATACAAAGTTTTACATTGTTTTATTAAAACTATATACAGAACTGTAAAAAATATCCTAAAGACTAAAAGGAAAGATATTAGAATGTTATTTTTGTATAATGATAGACTTAAGGGTATCGTTTTTCTTGTTTCACCATGTTCTGTTTGATGTAAGTTGGTTTAATTGGGGGGAAGGGCAGTGCTGAGGACTGAAACCAGGACCTTGCTTGTGCTTGGTACATGCTCTGTCACTGAGCAGCAGCACCCCAGCCCTGGTTTGAATTTTAAAGCCATGTAGTAAAGCTGCTCATCTTGTTAACAGAAAGAATGCTTCTGTTTCTCCAGGTGAAGGAACTGGAGCAGAGCCTGCAGGCCTCTGAGGAGCTGCTCAGGCAGAACAGGGATGTCATGGCTGCTCAAGAAGCACAGATCCAGGAGCTCGTGAGTGCTTCCTGTGCACCAGGTCCTGGACTTTCCCTCTGTGCCTTTGCGGATGCTCCACATGCACTCCCAGCATCTGCAACAGTACCTTCACTTGACCTCAGTACAGTTATTATCCTGGATGTGAGAAGGAGGACAGAGCAAGTTGAGGGCATGAGAACTTGCTGGAGGGTCCAAGTTACCTGGAGACCTGGACTGACTGGTAGCTCCCACCTGTCATGCGGCCTCTGGTCCTGCACTATTTTGGGGCATTTAGAGGCAGCTCCTCAAGGGGGTCAAACCTCAGCTTAAAATAAGAATGTGGAGACCAGGTCAGAACTGGTGGAAGGGCATGGCCAGTCTTCATAGCCCTAGGTGGGCTTATGAGTTAGAAGCTAAAAAAAAGTAGCCAGCAATGGTTTCCTGTTTGGCACAGCCCAGGCACTGTGGAGAGTGCTTTGCACCTGTTTTCAGTTAGCTCTCCCAGCACCTAAGAAGCTGCACTGTCTTCTTTATTGTATAGAGGAGGCAGAATCAGAAAGATCAGTAACTACTAGCCCATGTAACTTGCCCATGTGCTCACAGTCAGCAAGGGACAAGACCCACACCTTTCTTATGCAAAGCCTTTGTTCTTCACCACTGTATTTTTCTGCGGCTCTGGGGAAACCCTCAGTCATAGAAGCCCACTGAGTAGCTGAAGGAGGCCTGTGTCCCAGAGCCATCCCCACACACTGTAAGGGTGTAGCAGTGGATCCAGTCCATTGCCAGACTCTACATATCGAGGTAGGCCAGGTGCAGCAGCAATTGCAGAGCCTGCAGGGGTTCTCAGCAGCACTGGGGCGGGAAAGCTATTTCTATTGGCTCCATCTTTGGGCCACAAAGTTCCAGAATAAGGCCCCTCTTTAAAACTATTGTCCCTTGACTCACTGTCCTCTGGTTTTCCCGCAGGCCACTGCAAAGCAGGAGAGCAGCCTTGCACAGCAGCAGGTCCTTGCCCTAGAGCAGCAGTGCAGGGAGCGCACCCATGCACTGGAAGCCCAGCTCGTTGCTCTGGAGCAGGTACGGGCAGCCGACCAGACTGCTGCAGAACATGGGATGGTGAGTGGAGTAGGGAGGAGTACTGGCACAGTTGAATCTGCCCTACACTTAACTAGAAGAACGGCACCCCGCCCCTAAGCTAGGGAGAGAATTTATAGAGCAGTTCACATCTTTCCAATGAGTACCTGCTTATGAGACTGGATATGTAAAGGCTACTATTTACAGAAATCAAGAGCACATGGATTTTCCTTTTCCTTGTGCCCAACAGGGACTTCTCAGTATTTTCTGACTAGTCTTAGCCTCTTCCCTTTCTTTCTGAAATTCATGTTGCTCTTCCGTAATGGCTTCTCCCTTTCCATGGTATCTGTCTGCCCTACTTTTTTTGTTGTTTTTTTTTTCCTCTCTCTCTGTCTCTTTTTTCTTTTTCTTTTTTTTTTTTTTTTCTTTCACACTAGCAGTTGAACTCAGGGCCTCATGCTTGCTAGGCAGGTGCTCTACCACTTGAGCCACTCCACCAGCCCTTTTTTTTTTGTGATGGATTTTTTTCAAGATAGGGTCTTGCACACTGTTTGCCTGGACTGGCTTCCAACTGTGATTCTCCTGATCTCTGCCTCCTGAGTAGCTAGGATTATAGGCATAAGCCACTGGCACCCAGCTTCCCCACAGTCTTCAGAAGTGTATTATTCTTTTTCAGGAGCTTTTTGTTGTTGTTTTTGACTTGGTCTCTCCTCTTGAGTTCTGGGACTATAGGCATGCACCACCACACCTAGATTTTGTTTTGTTTTTTTTTCTCATGGTACTGGAAATGGAACCTTAACACATGCTAGGCAGGTGCTCTACTACCAAGGCATATTCCCAGCCCTTGGAGTTTTTTAGTTTCTCTTTCTGACCCCCATGCTATTTGTAACTCCCACCCTTGCAGTGACTACAAGAAAGGGCATTTCAAAGATGCCATGTCAAAGAGATCAGCTGGTGCCCTGGAGAAAATAGGTTGATTAAGACCTTTTCTTTTTTGGATGTACTGGAGTTTGAACTCAGGGCCTCATGATTGCTAGGCAGGTGCTCTACCACTTGAGCTACTCTGCCAGACCTAAAACCTTTTCTTTTGCCAGACCTAAAACCTTCTCTTTTTATATGTGTTCTTCTCAATTTTCAGAGAGAGCTGGAACAAGAAAATGCAGCCCTTAAAGAAAGCAAAACTGAATGTGAACGCTCTTTACAACATCACCAATTTGAACTAAAGAAGCTAAAGGTATTTACCTAATAGAATCAGAGTTTCACAATAGTTCATATCTTTCATATGAGTATTTGGAGTGACCAAGTGAAAGTGTCGCACGTGCAGTAGAGAAAGAGAGGAATCAGTGCTTGTTCAGTATTTCTGCTAGGCCTCTGCTAGAAAGCTTCACCTTACTCAGTCCTCTCAGAGTCCAGGATATAAAACCATTGTGTTCACTTGGCAATTAATGTTATTGAGGTTTTGAGTGCAAGTAATTTGTCTAAGCTCTACAGTTAGAGGCAGGGCTAGTCTGGCCTTCCCCTCTATCCCAGAGGCCCAGCCTTTCCTCTGTGTCATTATCGATAGCTGCCTGGAAGTTATGCTATCACAACACCCTCAGGCTTTTTGTTTTTCAGCAGGATGGGTAAAGCAAGACCTTAAGAAAGCATAAAGAACTTTGTATTGGGGACCTTGTTCAGAAAGGAAGAAACAGTCTGCTGGATTATTACCCTTTCCTTTCTGTGAACTTTGTGCTTCATTGAGATCCTGCCTCCGTCATTCCCTGGGCATAGCTGTATAGCCACTTTCTTACAGCTACTTCACAGCCCCCTTGGATGATGGGTAATTGGAATATTTGTGAGGCTTGGTCCTGACACCAAGTGTTTGCAGATCCTCTGGCAGACACCTTTGAGAATAGCATGACTTAGAGTCTGCCCCTTGCAAGCTTTCAGTGAGCATCTGGTGAGCAGCTTAGGCACTAGTGCAGTGGTGCAGTATCACATGCACCTTGGAGTTGGATTTGTGTGTGTGTGTGTGTGTGTGTGTGTGTGTGTGTTACTGGAGCTTGAACTCCAGGTCTGCAGCTTGCTTTGTGAATAGCTAGGATTACAGGCGTGAGTCACTGGCACCCAGCTGGATTTTTTTTTTTTTTTTTCCATTCCTTAGCAAACATTTGAATGCCTGAGTCAGGCACCATGGTAGGTGCTAGAAAAAAGCAATGAATCAGACAATAGATCCTCTTCCATGGAACTTATAACAAGAGACCGTAAATAAGTTGCAATTAGTGACAAATGCAATAAAGAAAACAAAGCAGTTGAAGGACATAGAGGAGGGAGGAGAGGGTGCTTTTCAGTATGGAGGTTGGGGAAGTCTGCTGTTAATTTCACCAAAAGATCTGAATAGTGAGAGGGTATGTAGATATTTGGGGAAGGAATGTTCCACACAGAATAGATACCAAATATAGAGACTCTGAGGCAGGAAAAAACCTTGGTCTGTTCAAAGAACAGTAGGAAAGCCAGCAAGGCTGCCCCTGAGTGGCAGGGGGAGCAGAGTACAGTGAGGAACTTAGCAGTGATTAGGCAATATAATGAGAAGCCGTTGCAGGTTTTAAGTGGAGAAGCAGGGAAGAAACTTTGTTTTAAAAGGATTTCTCTGAGCCAGGTGCTCATGCCTGTAATCCTAGGTACTCAGGAGACAGAGATCAGGAAGATCAAGGTTTGAAGCCAGCCCAGGCAAAATGAAAGAGAGACCCTCTCTCAAAAATACCCACAATCAAAAAAGGACTGAGAGGAGCGGCTCAAGTGGTAGAGTGCTTGCCTAATAAGCGTGAGGCCCTAAGTTAAAAAATTTCAGTACCACAAAAATTAATTAATTGATTAATTAATTAAACACAAGAGCCTATTTGAAAAATAACCAATGAAAAAAGGGTTAATGGCATGGCTCAAGTGGTGGAGCACCTGCCTAATGAGTATATGACCCTGAGTTCAACCCCAGTGTTGCCATTTAAAAAAAAGATTGCACTGCCGCTGCATGGAGAAATTTCTGTAAGTCAGGCAGACAGAGAATGGAAGACATTTCAGAAGGCATTTTAGTATCATAGGCCAGAGATAACTAGCATGTTAGTGTAGCACTTGGGAAGAAGTATTCAGATTCAGGATGTATTCTAAACATGGAGCTTTTAGAACTTGCCACTGATTAAATGAAGGGAGTGAGGGAAAAAGGAGTTTGGTCTGTGTAACTCAGGGTTTCTCCACCTCAGCACTGTTGACATTTGAGGCTGATGAGTCTTTGTTATGGGGGGCAAGGCTGCAAGAGTGCATTGTGTCTCTTGAAGGTGGCTGGTTGGGGGTGGGTAGGCAAAACCTTACCTGCCCAGAGAACCACTGGGGAACTGAATGCCATTCACAGGTGTCTGGGACATAATCTGGTAGTCTTCTGGGTAACAAGTCTGGAAATCAGAACAGAGGTTCAGAATTGACAGGTAAGTTAGAAAGCGTGTCAGCAGAGCAAACAAGAAGAATTTACAACCAAAGGACCACAGAATGAATGTAGATATTGAACAGGGCTAATGGTGAAGGCCAAGGTCATACAAGCATTCTGCAGTTCAGACAAAAGGCGGAGCCAATAAAGAGACTCCAAAGGAGATACAAGTACCATGGCAATAAAACCAGGAGAATGCTAAATCCTTTCCCTTCCTTCTTTCCTTCCTCCCTCTCTGTCACTATATACACCTCAAACTCTCAATCCTCCTGAATTAACCTCCCAAGTGCTAGGATTACAGTCATGCACCACTGTGCCATGCTTCTGCTCCAGCTTGGGTTGAACTAACTTAAGAATATAGGGATAGCCCTGAAAAATCTCTTCTGCTAATTTTGTATTAAAGTGATTCTGTTATTAGTGTTCCTGGACAACAAGAAAAAGCAAACAAAATCAAAGATAATCAGGTCAGTGATGGAGTACAGCTCAGTGACAGAGCATGTGCTTAGCATACATGACACCCTGGATTCAATCCCCAGCACCAAAAAAAAAAAAGGCACTATGTCATACCCATAATCCTCTTGATTCTGAGGAAGGAGGATTGGCCAACCTAAGCTACATAGTGAGACCCTGTCTTGAAATAAAATTTAAAAAGGACTGGGATGTTAGCCCAGTGGTAGATCTCTTGTGTAGCACCTCTGAGGCTCTGGGTTTAATCCCCAGTACCCAAAAAACAGGATGAGTTTAACAGCAGATTAGACCTAAAGAGAGAATTGAGGAAAGGACTATCTAGGATGAAATACAGAAAAGAAATGAGACATTTAGGATACAAAATGTTTTGTCACGTGTTAGTGGAGTCCTGGAAAGGCAATCACTGAAAAAATCCAAACAGAATAAATTTTTGTGCGTGTGCAGTACTGGGGCTTGAACTCAGTACCACTCCACCAGCCCTTTTTTGTGATGGGTAAATACCCATCAAGATAGGGTCTCGTGAACTATTTGCCCAGGCTGGCTTTGAACCTCGATCCTCCAGATCTCTGCCTCCAAAGTTGCTAGGATTACAGGCGTGAGCCACCGGCGCCCAGCCAAATAAATCTTAAAATCTGGTAGACTAAAGCAAACCAATAAAACAAAAACAAAGAATTAGTCCTCAATAGACTAGCACTAAAGGAAATACTAATGGGATGGGAGCACAGCTCAAGCCTGGCAAGCTCAAGACCTGAGTCCAATCCCCAGTACCACCAAAAACTAAAGAAATAGTAAGGAATATCTTTTAGGTAAAGAAAAATTCTAGATGGGAGTACAAGTTAGGGGGTAAGAGGAATGAAGAGCAAATCTGAATAAGCTTTTTGAAGAACAATGATTTATTTTAATAAGTATTTAATGTAAAATAAAAAACAAGATGAAAATAACTGAAGTCAGGGGAGGTAAATTCAGTCACTGTTCTCAGCCCTTACATGGTCTGGGAATAGGATGGACATACCCAATAGGACTGGGCTTTGGCTGGGGATATAGCTCAGTGATACAGTGCATACTTAAGCACGCCAGAGGCCATGGGTTCAATACCCAGCAACCAAAAAAATTAAAATTGAGAGACTGAACTTTGATAAGACAAAAATGCATATTGTAATCTATAGGCTGATCACAAAAATTAATAAAAAATTTATAAGTTCCAGACTTACAAAGGGGGAAAATGTTTTAAAAAGTGGCAGAATGCTCAAGAGACAGAGTGCCTGCCAAGCAAGTGTTAGTCCCTGAGTTCAAACTCCAGTGAAAGACACTTTCATATCACCCACAGATCAAAAGGAAAACAAAAAAATCACAGTAGAAATTAGAAGCTGGGCACTGGTGGCTCATGCCTGTAATTCTAGCTAATCCAGAGGATTGAAGCCAAGCCCAGGCAAATAGTTCACAAGATCCTGTCTCGAAAAAACCCTTCACAAAAAAGGGCTGATGGAGTGGCTCAAGGTCTAGGCCCTGGGTTCAAACTACAGTACTGAAAAAAAAAAAATTCAAACTAAAGAAACAGGGAAATACAATAAACCAATACTGATGGGTGTAACTAAAGCCCTACCTAGAAGGAAATTTAGTCTGAATTGCACCTTTCAGGAAGGAAAACTGAAAACTGAGCCACATATCCATTCTAGTTTTTTTTTTTTTTTTTGAAACACATATCCATTCTAAAAAGTCATTTAAAAAAACAACCAATAAGGACTGACAGAGTGGCTCAGGCAGTAGAGTGTCTGCTTAGCAAGCATGACACTCAGAGTTCAAATCTCAGTACCACCAGAAAATAAAAAATGTAAAAAAAAAATAAAACCCACAAAGGAAGAAATGATGAATATAAGAGCATAAATAGAATTGAGAGTCTTTCATAATAAACAGGATCAAAGAAACCCAAAGTTGATTCTTTGAAGACTTAGTAAATTTATTAAACTTAGCATGAGACTGATCAAGGAAAAAAAAGAAGTGCCAAAACAATGTCAGGAATAACAAAGGAAATACTACTATACATCCTACAGATATAAAAAAGATAAGAAATGCAAACACTTTATGTCAACACATTTTAAAAGTTATGTGAGGCTGGGCAATCTCAGCACTCAGGACAATCAATAGTTAGAGGCCAGCATGGGCAACATAGTGAGACACTGTCTCAAAAAAGTTACATGAAATGATAAAATTCTAGAAAGAAGTAACTTGTCAAAACTGAGTGGTAGGCTAAGTAATGACCCCCAAATATATCTACATCCTAATCCCTATAGTTTGTGAAAGTCACCTTATATGACAAAGGGAACTCTGCAGATATGATTAAAGGTCTTGAGATCACAAGAGTCCTAATAGCAAAGTGGAAGCACATTTTATACAGTGGACAGAAAGAATCAAAAAGAGAATTGAAGATGCTGCACTGCTGCCTCTAAAGATGGACCCAGGGATTGCAATTCTAGAAGCTGAAGAGGCTTCCTGAGGGAGCACAGCCTACCAACATTGTGACTGAGACTCATAGGGTCCCATTTGGACTTCTGGCCTCCTAAACTGTAAGGTGATTAACTTCTGGGGAGTTTTTGTTTTGTTTTGTTTGTTTTTTGTGGTACTGGGGTTTGAACTCAGAGCCACTCCACCAGCCCTTTTTTGTGATGGGTTTTTTTCAAGTTAGGGTCTCACAAACTATTTTGCCCAGGCTGGCTTCGAAGCACAATCTTCCTGATCTCTGCCTCCTGAGTAGCTGGGATTATAGGCTTGAGCCACCAGCACCTGGCAACTTCTGGTTTGTTTTTTTTTTTTAAGCCAGTAAGTTCAAGGCAATATGTTACAGCAGCTGTAGGAAACTTAGACATGAGAATAATAGAAACTCTCTAACATACAGTGTGTCACTCATGGCCCAGTCAGGAGACAGGAGCCACCCCAGATATTCAAGTGAGAATAAGTATTCCACTGTGAAATTTTCAACTGCTACTTCTGAAACAGGTGAAAGATAGCACAAAGGTGTCAAATGCAGGAGCAGCCTCCAACCCTCAGACTAAGGACAAAGTGGAGCTGGAATTATTAAATTCAGAATGAGAAGGTAGGCTCCACAGACTTGACTATCAGACCTCAGAGAGCAGATCTGTACAACTGGTGCTAGTGTGTACTGTGACGCAACGATGAATGGGTGCAGCGGCAAGGGTTAGGAAAGCAGCAGCTTCAGGAGGACACCACTGCTGCCCACCTAGGAAGGGGAAGCCCCAGGAGGGAGCAGGTGTGCTCTCTATCTCTGGCTCCCCGTCTCCCTGGAGCTCCCCTGTTGGCAGAGGTTAAGATAGAGCAGGTGGAGAAGCAGAAATGTGGTTCGTAGGGACCCAGGCCCAGCATTGCCAAGCAAGGTAGAAGTGTGTCTGTGGGCTAAGAGGCCAGTAACTCGAAACCCAGCACACCCAGGCCATTTAAACATGTAGCTACTTTCTGGATGGGGAATTTTCTGGATATTTGGGGTTTCATATTGTGTTGGCCAGATATTTGATATTTATTCCGACTTGTTTTATGACCCCAGCCTACTGTCTATCTTGGCAAATGTTTCATTGCACTTGAAAAGTATGTATGTGTTAGGAAAAGAATGGTGATTCACTCCTGTAATTCCAGCTACTCAGAAGGCAGAGGCAGGAGGATCATGAGTTAAGGCCAACACAGGCAAGATCTTAATTCAAAAACAAAATAAAAACAAAAGAGCCAGGGCAAGAGTACTTTGCCCAGCAAGCACAGGGTTCTGGGTTCAATTCCTAGTATGGTGGGGAAAAAAATAGACCAATAGATACACACATAAATGCATACATATTTTTTGTTTTTAAGATGGGGTATTCTGTTAATGCTAATTCTGTCAAATTCATTGATAATAACTTTTGAAGTCTGCATTTCTCTTTGATTTACTTATTTTGTCACTTGTTCCCCCATTTCTGAGAGGAGTCTGCTAGATCTTCAGCTGTTTCTTTCTGCTTTGACTGCTATCAGTCTTTGCTTGTATTTTAAAGGGCTATAATTTGGTGCACGTGTATTTGGATTTTTTTAATTTATATTTTACAAACAGCTGTTCTTTGATTCCCTGCCACACTCACAAGAGCAGCCACTTATGGGTGGCCTGGCAATTCCTGTGAAGTACAGGCCCTGCTTTCTGCTGCAGGGAACCTGGGCTGGTAGTATGGACTTTGAATCCCATTGTCTGGAATCTCATGTAGCTCTGTGGCACCATATATACACAGTTCTATATCCCAACCTGGTCCCTCACTTGGGTACTAGAGGGAATCCATTTTCTCTCTCTCTCTCTCTCTCTCTCTCTCTCTCTGTGTGTGTGTGTGTTTGTGTGTGTGTGTGTGTTTTGCAGTTCTGGAGCTCAAATGCAGAGCCTTTCACATGCTAGGTAAGCACTCTACACTGTGCAAAAACCCCAGCATTTGTTTGTCAGACTTGGGTTTGAACTCAGGGCTTCATGCCTGCAAAGCAAGTGCTCTACTGCTTGAACCATACCTCCAGTCCATTATTTTTTGAGACAAGGTCTTGTTGTGTAGCCAAGACTGCCCTCAAACTCTCAATCATCCTGCCTCAGTCTCCCAAGTACTAGAATTAGTTCTGCACCACTATGCCTGGCCCATTTTTTTCTTCCTTCCCTCCCTCCCTTTCTCCTTCCCTCCCTCCCACCTTCCTTTCCTCCTTTCCTTCCTTCCTTCCTTTCTTTTCTTCCATTCTTCCTGGCAGTACCAAGGTTTGAACTCAGGGCCTCACACTAGTTAGGTAGGTGCTCTCCCACTTGAGCCATTCCACCAGTCCCCTATTTTCTTTATTTTAAATGAAAGATGATAACACCTGACCCAAGGGGATTACTCTGAGGATCAAACATGGCCACAGATGAAATGTGCCAAGGGCAGTTTCCCGGCATAGAGGCCCTGTGAGTCTGCATTCCACCCTGGTCTGCTTTCCTGCCTTCTTGCACATGCCTCTTCCTCCTGCCCTTTTAGACATCAGCAGTCACAAGTGTCTCTCCCCTCCTAAATTGTCCCAGAAAGGCCCCTGCGGAAACTGGCATTCCTGGCATCCTCCCAGCCTGGACTTCCTCATCTCCACCACACTGAAACCTCTTGCTCTTTCCCCTGTGTCAACAGAGCCACTCTCTAAACCCATCTTTGGCAGTAGAAGGTGGTTGGTGGACCTGTTGAGGGGTATTGTCTGGGGCAGCCAGGGTCCCACCTTCAGCCTTTCCAGTTCAGACCCTAGCTTTTCCTTGTCTGTAAAAGCCAGGTACACTGTGAGGCCGCTGTCCCTGAAGTTCACCTAAGGAGGTTTCTGAGGAAAAGTGGGGCAGCTCCCAGACCTAGAAACACTGGCTGGACCGGGTCCTCCCTGCTGTGGTCTGTCCCTGATCCTCAGTGTTAGAGCTTTTCTCCGTCATATAGACTGTGTACTGCAGGAGTGAACATCAGTTCTAGGCTTGGAACACTCCAGCTGAGCACCCCCAGGAGCAGGAAGGCTTCTTCTATTCAGTTTCAGCATGTAAATTATCCTAATATAAGAAGAAATTCTGATTGTTCATCTTTGCTCGCAGAGCCACCCTTTAGATGTATTTATTTGGTCAAGAGATGAGATACTGTGATTGGCCAGGCTTGAATCACATGCCACAAAATTAGGGTTATTCACAGCCCTACCAAGGCCATGTGGAATTTCACGGTGGGAATGGGGGACAGGAACAGTGAACCACTTACCCAAAAAGAGCAGAGGATTCCAGGTACTCGGAAACAACAGACATTGCCTCACGCTGTCTCCACAACATCTCCCTGGCCAGTAGTCAGGCACCGGAGAAGTTGTACTTTGTACCTAGGGGCTGCTGTCAAGCATGGGCATTAGAACTGGAGTGGTTATCCCCAGAATAGTCCCTGAGCTCTGGAAAGGCTGGCTAGGCATCCCTGCTCTCATAGGAAATACTGTGGGTGGGAGGGTCTGATATACAAAGGCCCTGGACTCATACTGAGGCTTTTTTTTTTTTTCAAATGGGACTAGGGTTAGAACTCAGGGCTTCATGCTTGCAAAGCAAGAGCTCTACCAGTTGAGCCACACTTCCTGTCTACTTTGCTCTGGTTATTTTGGAGATGGAGTCTTGTAAACTGTTTGCCCAGGCTGGCCTTGAACCACCATCCTCCCAATTTTAGCCTCCCAAGTAGCAGGGATTATAGCTGGTTAGCTTTCAGTCTATGCTGCCTACTGGCTCTAGGACCTTGGGCAAATCACTTAACCTCTCAGAGCCTCAGTTTTCTCTCCTATAAGTGGGATCATTTTGATGAGTTGATGACATTTTGTCCTATTTTTTTTTTAATTTACATTTTGCCCTATTAAAATTCAGTAATTGGGGCTGTCAGAATGGTAGAGCTCCTGCCTAGCAATTGTGAGGCTGAGTTCAAACCCCAGTACCACCAAAAAAAAAAAAAAAAAAATTCAGTAATTTCTTACTTTGTTTCTTGTAACCAGAGTGTTCTAGTCAACATTCACATATGCCTGAGTGTTTTCTTGTCCCATGTTGATAGTATTAGACCAGCTCTTCAAGTCTGGGTCCCTAGCCTTGGCCTGAGTACTGGCTGGTGTGCTCGTGGGACCACCAGCCCTCAGTGGTGTGCCCATTTCCGGAGAAGTTAGTGTGCTGTCCTCCAGGGTAGTCATCAGAGGGATGCAGGGAAGTGGAAAGAATGTTCATCTGTTCCTGCACCACAGAGCCCCTCTGTTGGGTTTCAGGTGGAGTGTACAGCTAAGAAAATGTGGATTGAGCTTTGGAGATCAATGTCCTGTTTTCTGAATTGTAGGAAGAATGGAGCCAAAGAGAGATTGTGAGTGTGGCCATGGCTCAAGCACTGGAAGAAGTGCGGAAGCAGAGGGAAGAGTTCCAGCAACAGGTGGGCCACCTCAGCACACCAAACCCATGATGCTTCTGTAGTCCCACGAGTGCCCTCTGCTGTGGAATTATTGGAGGCCACATCTGTAGAATGCCAAGTCCCCAGGACAGTTACCTGTGTGATCCCCTATGGTCTCTAGGATGCTGGGAGATGCTACAAAGACACCCTTACCCGTAGGATGCTCTTTGCTGACTTTTCTTGGCCATAATTAATTGTATAAACATAATCTAGAGAAAAGTCATCAGCCAGGAACCTACTGAACTTCATTTCTGTGAGGTAGTACGTCTGTGCCAACTGGCCCAAAGCCTACATACAGTTGGTTGAGCTCTCAGAAGAACTGTGAGGAAAGTCTGCTTTCGGAGACAGGCCAAGCATCTGACCCCGCCCCTGCCGGGTCACTGGCTTCAATGAGCCCTTTACCAATCTGAGCTCCAGAGTCACCTCTGAAGAGGACTTAGGATAGTCACACCTCCAGACACCAGCATGAGTTATGTACATCATATACACCCTGTGCTGGCATGTCTCAGGCACTCAGTAAAGGGAAATTTTGGTTACACAGCATGTTAGAAGGCTGGGTGAAACAGCCACATCCAGTTGGCCCTCTGTGGGCCAGAGGAGCACTGAGAGACAAGAGCCCTACGGAGGGCCTGCCTGAGAGCACGGGTGTGTGCGAGTCAGTAGGAACAAAGGTTGCCCCGGGCTTGTTCTAGGCTGTGGACGCCAGGAGGGTTTCACAGGCATCCTGAGTACTGGGAAGTGGGGATCCATGCCAGCCCGTCTCATGCTGGGCTTCCCTCCAAGGCTGCTGAGCTGAGTGCCACAGTACACAAGAAGGAGCAGGCCCTGCAGGAGAAGGCAGACACGCTTCTCCAGAGGGAGCAGGAGGTGCACCAGCTGCAGAAAGGTGAGCTGTCCACCAGGCTGGCTGCCCAAGACAGGGCTGTGTGTGATTGCTGGCTCATGCCGCGTACTTCCCCCGCCACCCTAGGTCATGACTCTGCCCTGCTGCAGATGCACCAGCTGCAGAGGGAGCTGGAGGCCCTGAGGAGCTCCAGGACCCAGGAGGCTGCTGTTCAAGAGGACCTGCTGCGGCTGCAGGGACAGGAGCCACTCGTAAGTTATCCGTGTGCTGCAGTGGACACAGGGTGCTTGCTCTGCAATGCACACACATCCTCTCTTTCAGGTGGGGGTGCTTGTCTGCCTTGGAGGCAGCCCCTGTCAGTGTGCAGATGGACTCTTTAGGGTGGACAGCTCATTGTCCCTCTAGAAGGCACCAGATGAGATCTTGTATTTCACTCTGGCCCCTGCCAGCTGCCTGCTGCAGCACACCAGGCCACCTCTGTGAGACAAGCTGCCTCCCCTTCCCCATGCACCCATGGCTTAGCTTCCGCATTACTTGTCCTAGCTCTCAACTTGCTGCCACCACTTGTAGGTCACCTCGAAAAACATGCAGCTTCCAGCTACAGAAGAAACACCAAATGGCGAGGTTGGGGCCATGGATCTTGGGCAACTACAGAAGGAAAAACAGGACTTGGAGCAGCAACTTACAGAGAAAAACAAGGTGAGGGTGCCCTTTGTTCTCTGTGTCCCTCCTACATCCAGACCCTCAGCCTGGAAGAATCCAGTCCCTTTCCAGAGGGTTCTGCTGAGGCCGGGCACCTCTTGGTAATTTACCTTTTTCTCCAAAGGGCTTCCTCCTGTGCCTCCTCCACTTGCTCTGGAGTCTTCCTCTCTCAGCCCCTTCAGGTACTGTCCAGAGTACCAGAGCCTGAGCAGCAGATGCCTGGCTGCTCCTGCTGATCTGCTGTCCCCATCCAGCCATGTAGACAGTCCCCTTCCCTCTGTACTTCTTTTCCACAGCTATGCATGACGGCACTCAACCTACCCTCTGAGGAGTGTTGAGGTGGGAGATGAAAGGAAGGTGTTAACTGTCCTGTGTACCACCTGGTGTTTGCCAGAGGCTTAATAAATGTCCCAATTTCACCTCACCCCTCCCTACCTCTGCACCTGTGAACTCAGGTATTCATTCATCCTGGCTCTGAACAGGCCTGTGGAGCATAATGTGCTGGCTAGATATCGCTCTGTTCTAAAATTCTTCCTCCAAATTTCGTGGGGGGAGGGGAATAGATAGTTAACCAAGGATAGGAGCCTTTCTGCTCCCACCCCCTGCATGGTGGTGTGCTCCCTTTTCCCTTTCTATTTTTCCCTGCCTTGTCCTGCTTTACTAAATAAAACTTTGCTAAACTTAAAAACGGGGGTGGGAGGGGAAGATTTAAAGATGTTTATCTTCCACACTCATTTAATCTCTTACTATGAAATATAAAATATACATAGAAAAGTATACAAGGCTCCATCAGTTACCACAAGCAAACTGGTACCCCTGGGTACAAGTCATGACACCAGCAGCATACCTCAAGCCACGTCCCCTCAGACCCTCACATTTCCCATCACTGGGATCCTGACTTGATGGCAACAGCCACCGTGAAGTCCTGCCGAGCTCACTCCCCAAGCTCGCATTCCCAAGTGCTCCGCTTTAGTTTTGCTCAAAGGTGAATCTGATGCATGTCCCACAGGACCTGCCATATATGGGCACTGACCACAGCTTTCTTGCCCTCTTCACACAGCTTAGACGCCACCATCCACCATGGGGACCACTGCCTCACTGACACTCAACTCTCTGGCTCCTTTCCCTCTCCTCAGACTGTCCTGGCCAAGACCCAGCTCTGATTAAGTCCTGTTCCTCCTTGGCCCACACCTGCAGCCCCTGAGCTAAAGGGGGCTGGGGCCAGAGGCCACTGTCCCCAGGCAGCCAGGACCCACTCCAAGGGCCACCCACTCACAGCCTCACTCTGCCTCTCTTTCTGCAACTTCCAGTCCCATCTGTCCTCACTGTCCTCTGACATCCTGCCTCACCAAGAAGAGAACCTGCCCAGCATGCAGGGCTTCCTATCCCCCTGACCATGCTGCCCTCTGCCCAGCCTCTGTCCTTGGCACCCGCTGCTCTGCCTCCTTGGGAGCTCACTCCAGCCAGTCATGCTCTCCTTCCTCACTCTGTCTTCACTTTTCTGTTATTCACCCACTAGCAAGTCCACCATGACATGGACTCATGTCCACCTCTCCCAACTGTGAAGTTTCTCTGCTCCTCCAGTGCACATAGGCACAGCTTGTACACCTGCCCAGTGTAATTTCTCCTGAGGGTCTCCATCAGTACCTTGGGCTTCCACCTCTCCCCAGAGACAAGCTCTTGTGAGGCTCATCAGTGACAACCACGTCACTAAGGCAGAAGGCAGTTCCTCATTGTCCTCTTCATTGGCCTTTTGCAGCTCTCAGCACATACCCTCCTCCACAGCTCCCCTCCCCTATTACTGCAGGGGCCGGCCCTCGGCCTCCTCCCTTGCTCCCTCCACCTCTTTCCCCGTCCGTCTTCATGCTGCCTCAGGAGATAAGAGCCTCATGAGTCAACACCTATCTCCATGTCAATGTCTGAACAGCATCTGCAACTTAAAATCCCCAGAATCAAACACCAGCCTCCGCATGCTCTCCATCTTCTGCTGCCATCTGTCCCACCAGCTACTGCAGAACCCTGGGAGTCATCCTCAGCCACTCAATATTCCACACCTTTTGGCTCTCCCTGAAATCTATGCCCCAAGTCAGCTACTTCTCCTTGCTGCCACCAGTCTCCCACTCCAGGTTGGCAATGGATTTCTAACTGCCTTTGCTCTCACTCCACTGTCTCAGCCTGATGACTTTCTGTCTCTCAATGCAAGTCAGAGTCTTTGTAGGGGGCCACAACAAAGCCCTATGTGATCTGGCCCCTCTTCCTGTCCATATAATACCCACTTAGGCACATTGGCCTTGCCTTTGTGTCAAGTACCTCTCACCTCAGGGCCTTGCTGAATCTTTGCCCTGTGAGATTCTCCCTGTGACTACTCTCACTTCCTGTATAGTAACACTTTATCAACGAGGCCTCCTCTGTTACCCCTGACAGACCTCACCACCAGAGCTCCCTAACCCTTATCCTGCTCTTCTCCATGCCTCTCTATCCCTTCTCCTAACTCTGTGTGGTTTATTGATGCTTTTCCCTTGAGGGGAAAAACTTTGTCTTTTTTAGCACTTTTCCTCCAGCTTATGACATTATCTGCACGCAGTAGGGAGTCAGTCAGCAATTATTGGATGAACTAATGAACAAGCAGAAAAACAAGTACCATCAGATAAACTAGCAAATGTATTTTTGGAGGAATGTCCAGCCTCATGGACAACCAGAAAAGTCCAAATTGAAACCACACATGCCATTTTACACAACTAAGTGGGTTGCAGATGGATACAAACTCTTAATAAGACAGGGGCGGAGACGCTTCCATGTTTCTCAAGGTACTATTTCCCCAAGAGAATCCATGGGCACCCCTCCAGAGGAAACAAAGCTTATTCCAGATCTGCTTAAAAGTGGACACCCAGGTCAGGTCCTAGAGGCTCATGCTTATAATCCTAGCTACTCAGGAGGCAGAGATCAGGAGGATAAGAGTTCGAAGCCAGCGCATGCAAATAGTTCAAGAGACCCTATCTCGATAAAACCCATCACTAACAGGATTGATGGAGTGGCTCAAGTGGTAGAGCACCATGGTGAGAGGCCCTGACTTCAAACCACAGTGTTGAAAAAAAATGGACACCCAGGGACTGGCTCTGTGGTAAAGTACTTGCCTGACGTGTACAAGGTCCTGCCTTCTATCCCCAGCACTCCAAAAATAATTAAAATAAAATATGGAAACCCAACCACACAGTAAGACATGAGGCATCCTGTAGTTACTATTCTATTAAGCTACCATTGGAAAGCTATAGAAAGCTGTGAACACTAGTAAGTGAAAAAAAGTGTTCAAAATTCTGTCACATCCGTACAAGGAGGAGGACATGGACTAGAAGTCCACTGGAAGCCTTCATTTTATACTAGGTTACAGCTGTGAGATTTTGGAAACATTCTTATTTAAAAAATTTTCCTTGGGGGCTGGTGGAGTGGTTCAGGTGGCACAGTGGCTGGGGTGGTAAAGCGTCTGCCCAGCAAGCGTGAGGTCCTGAGTTCAAATCCCAGTACCACAAAAAAATAATTTTCTCCCTTGAGCTCAATCTCCAGCACTGAAAAAAACCTAGCTGGGCATCAGTGGCTCACACTTGTAACAGCAGCGTAGCTACTTGGGAAGCTGAGATCAAGGAGGATCACAGTTCAAAGCCAGCCCCAGTGAAAGAGTTTGAGAGACCCCCATCTCTCAAATTACCAGAACTGAAGGTGTGCCTCAAGCAGTAGAACACCTGCTTTCCAAGTGTGAAGCTCTGAGTTCAAACCCCAGTCCCACAAAAAAAATTTAATTCCTGTGTCACAAATTTATCCTGGCATTTCAGGCAGGCAGTGGTAGTGAGAACCCTAAGTTCTGGCCCATGTGTCCTACTTGGGAATAATAGGACATAAATAGAATTTTGAAGGCACAGCCACTCACAGCCATGCTGTCCCAGGGCTCAGGCACTTTGAAGAGGCCTGAGGACCCAACCCATGAGTGGTCAGGCAGTGCTGCAACAGTTGTGTCCTGCAGAGGGAACATGACATGGCAGCTCCTGTGGAACCCGGGGAGGGAAAGAAGCCCCAGTAGTAGACATGTGCATGAGATTGCTGTGCACAGGCCTCTCGCGATGGTCTCTAAGGGCAAACACTTCCAACTGTGGTCAGAGGACCTCAGGGGAGGCTTTCTGAAGATGGCAAATGTGCCTCTAACCCCTGGCCTTGGGGTGGGTTTTGTCTTAGATCATCAAGCAGATGCAGCAGAGGATGCTGGAACTCAAGAAGACCTTGCAGAAGGAGCTGGTGAGTGCCCAGTCAGCCCCTCATCCCTGCTCCATGCCCTCCCTAGCTCACCGGACCTCCTGGGGCCCCTTGCTTCCTGATGTTGCTTCCCTAGTTGATTGCAAGGGTTCTTTGGGAAATCAGGTATAGGCTGGTGGGACTGCAGCTCTGTCTTCTCCCTGAAGGTAGAGCTTGCTCTGAAGTCAGTGCATGGTGTTGGTACAGTGTGTATATGGCAAGTGCTTGTCCTGACCTGGGATGAGTTCCTTGGGGTGCTCACTGTCCTAGGACATACATGCTGGGCATCAATAAGGAAATGTGACCTTGTTTCCTCCTTTCAGCCACCAACCCCACCTGGATCTGCTGAGACTTTTCTCCAATGCTAGCACTTCCTTCCAGGTGGGGCCTTTTTGCCCTGAGGTGCAGGAGAGGCTGAGGAGCAGCAGGTGGTCACAGCTGGGGCCCAGAAATCACTCTTTGATTTTAGACCCATCTAGAAGCATTCACTGTAGCATCTTTCACATTGGTTTTCAGAAAATCAGACCTGACAATGAGATTTTTGAAGTCCGGGAGAAGCCAGGCCCTGAAATGCCAAACATGGCCCCTTCTGTCACAAATAACGCTGACCTGACTGATGCCCGCGAGATCAACTTCGAGTACCTTAAACATGTTGTTTTAAAATTCATGTCCTGTCGAGAATCTGAGGTAAAGAGCTTCTGAGCTGCCTTTTGGGTATTGAGCCCAGTCCTGCAGAGCCAACCCTGTACAGCTTCTCATCCACTCCACTATCTTCTTCCTCCCCCATGTCCCATGTGTACACTTGGCCATTTCTGCCCCCAGCACTGGCCTGCTGACTTGAGTGGCAGGCTGAGACTTGGAGATCATGAAGGGAACTGGCTCCTGGGCAGATGTGCACTCCTCTTCTAAATCCTAGCTTGGATGCTGAAGCCAGAGTCCTGGGAACTGAGTCTGCCAGTGTTGCTATCCTGCCAAAGAGCAGGGTAGCTGCTGAGGATGTCCTCTTGATCCTCCCAGTCCCTGAAGTGAAAGATGGGAGGGGGAGGGGGAATAACTTGTCCTTGCTGTCAGACTCAAACCTCACCCACCATCTGATCCTTGCCAACCAAGATAAACAGGAAGTGCTGCCATTTAGCCCCCTGACTTCCTGGTCTCCCACCCCACCAAGACACATGGCAACAAAACTTACTTTATTTCAGGCTTTTCATCTTATAAAAGCTGTGTCAGTTTTGCTGAACTTTTCACAAGAGGAAGAGAACATGCTCAAGGAAACTCTGGAGTATAAGGTAGGGTCCTCAGGTCTATTGTTGCGTCTGTCCAACAACAGCACCCAGGCTCTGGCAGCAAGTAACCAGCTGCAGCTGCATCATCAACTGAGCTGCTTTGGGATGATGAATTTGACGGGGCAGTTCTAAGGACATCCTTTGTGTCCTTAAACATCCTCAAATGTCTGTGCTGTATTTGACCAGCAGACTTTAATTTTCTAAACCATTTTCTGGACTAGAGGTGTGGCTCAAGCAGTAGAGCACCTGCCTGGCAAGTGCAAAATCCTGAGTTCAAACCCCAGTACCTCAAAAGAAGCATTTTCATTGGTAACACTTACAAACTGCTTCAGGTCTGGTCTAGCACCTAATATTACCTGCAGTACCACTAAATCGTTCTCATCATCTCAGGTTCTTTCTCTCGCTTCCTTCCCAAATGTAACTCGGTCTCTTAGCCCTGCAGACTGGGTTCCTGGAACCGTCCCTCTTCGTACTCTGCTTACAGCCAGGATGCAAGGAGGCCCAGTCGTGGCTGAGGGTAGATGGGAAGGTTGATTCTGGTTCTGTTTAGCCCAGTCCTGCTGCCCATCTCAGGAGCCTTTTCTTTTTCAAACGCAGATGTCATGGTTTGGGTCTAAACCAACTCCCAAGGGCAGCATCCGGCCGTCTATCTCAAACCCTCGGATACCATGGTCCTAGAGGGAACCACCTGCACCAGGATGCATCTCCATGGCTTGACACTTTTTCTGTGAAAAGAACACTGACACAGAAGTCTGGGTGGGTTTTTAATCACTGTAACTGCAGTATTTTGTACAATCGTCCAAACATTGTTTACAAGACTTAAAGCCCACCTCCCTGCAGGCTGACAGGAACCTCAAGAGGGAGCAGATCCTATGTCATCTGGTCACCAAACAGGAGGGTCCTGGCACTACCCAGATTTCCACAGCTAATATCCCAGCTCTGGCCAGCACCCGCCTGCACCTGAGTCCTCTAACTTTTAATGGTAGCATTTAAAGCTAAAGTGGTCAGTTTGTCAAGCAACAACCGATTCATCGTGTACAGGTGATGTGATGCTGGAGGTGAAGACTGCCCTTTGAAATAGTACCCAGCAGGCCAGATCCATCTGCTTCTGACAAAAAGCCAACTCCATGGGGGTGGGCACTGAAATTCCCTTTCCAGCCGGACATGGTGGTGCACATCTGTAATCCCAGCATTCTGGGAAGCTGAGACAGGAAGATTGCAAGTTCCAGGCCAGCTTGGGCAACATGGTGAAACCCTGTCCCGGGGCTGTGGGGGATGTCCCCTTCCGTTAGCATGTTTGGGTTCAAATGAGTTAGATGAGGCTTTTAACCCTTCTAAAGAAAACACCATTTTACCTTGTTTCCCAAACCACCTAGAACTTGAGATGTGTACATCTTTGAGGTACCTGGTGCCAGTGTGGATTAACAAAGAATATGCAGCTTTCTGATGCCATCTCCATTTTACCTTAAAAAACTAGTAGACAAAAAGATCTAAGTATAGCACCAAATACACTCAATTGCCTTTTTAATGAATGTATTTGTCTTGGATAGGTTGCTGGTAAACCATTTCAAACTATTTTTTATAGCTAAAGCTCTTCACTGTTGTAAACATGTCTTCTGTATTATAAAATCCACTTAAGTGGAGGGTTCTTAAAGGAAAATCAGAGCGTAAGAGGAAACACTGGGATTCCTATCCCTTTGTACTTTTGCTAGCCTTCTGTGGCATCTGCTCTCTGAAGGAGTGGTAGTATTTCATTTGCGTTACTCCTAATTCTGTGTCATGCTACCACTGAGCAAGAGCAAATATTAATCACTTTTTTCTACTTAAGAACCTCCTGAATTCAACGGAAGCAGCATCTGTTCCTTCTCCCCATCCTTGACCAAAGCATGCAGGTGGTCTGTCCCTCACCTACCCCAGAATTTAAGATGACACTACATCCACATATGGCGGCCAGACACCCCACCTGGCCGCAGTACTTGATAGCACACCTGCCCTTGGTCATAGTTGATAAAAACTTGTGCTTATTACTACACTTGTTCTGGATAAGCCACAGTCAACCTAAAGGAAAACCATTTATTGATTTATAGTTTGATGAAACTTTCTCTGGTAAATAAAACACCGAATTAATAACTGGAGCTCCTAAACTTATTATCAACTATCTACATGAAGTTATGTTTCTCAATTGTTGCTTAAGACCACTATATATATATATATATATATACACACACACACACATATATATAAAAAATATCTCTCACAGAAACACAAATATTTGCAGTTTACCTACTACATTTCCATGAGTGTACCATGCCTGGACAGCATCACCTTAACCCATCTCAGGCTCTGCCATCCAAACGAACCATTTTCCAGTACCTACCTCCACATATGGCTCTTCCTTGGTGAAGTTTGTCCCTTTACAATGCCACATCCCTCTGTTCTGTGACTTTGATGAGAATTTTCTCCTTTTACACCTGTCCCAAGTAAGAACCCAAGAAAACTGGGTAGTCCACAGCTCAGCAGAAGCAGCCACGGCACTGTGGAAGTCCACCTCACTTCTGTGTGGCTTCTCCAGCCCTGAGCCAGTCTCTCCCCACACTCTACCCCCATCAACAGCTTGAGGTTTGGCAGCAGGGCCCATTAGGGAGTCTACTCATTTAGGGACGACACCCCCATCCCTGCTAGGTTTCCCTCCTGCATGTTGAATTCCCTTCAGCTTTAAGAGGAAGAGTGGAGTAAATATTACTGATTTGATGCACTTTTACTTGTATAAAATCTTCTGTAACAGTATATATAATCCTTTATATGAGCATTGGATCTTGTTCTAACTCCCAATGTTGTAAATAAGGACTGTATTATCTAAAAACTGCTACAGAAAATTAATTTGTGGTGCAATACACTTTTTGATTAAAGCTCTTCAATGGAGATGCAACTACAATGGGTTTTATATAGTTTGGCATGTCAATATTTTCTAACTTGTTACATCTAGTACAACGCATTGTGTATTTTAATACTTCAAGGGCTACAGACTATCCTTCAGAAAGAACCCGATTGGGTTTGGGTGAATACATACATGTAACTTGGTGAAGCCAACAGCCTAGACTTCCCTTCCCTGCATTCTGGTGGTTCTGCACTGAGCAGGGGAGGTGGGGCTTGTATAGTCTATACTCAAGGCCTACAAGACCCAGAAGAGCTTCAGGGATATGAATGGGGACTTCATCCTTACCAGAATAGGAGCTGCAGTTACATGTGTTGAGAGGGAAAGAAAAGCTACGTTGGCCCCTGAAGAGGCTCATCATTGGTGGTTACAGGGAGCAAATTTAGCTTCAGTGGCTAATGGCTGATGCTATCTGCTTCTGGCCATTGGTTCTCTAAAGGAATTTGTCTACAAAAGACAAGAGATGGTGACTAGGCACAAATGAGGCCTGCCCTTGAAACACTCCCAAGGGTAACCACACAAACGGAAAACTTATTCGAATGAATTTTTTTTTTTTTGGGCAGTACTAGGGCTCGAACTCATGGCCTCATGCTTGCTAGGCATGTACTTTAGGCAGGCACTCTACCACTTGAGCCACTCCACCATCCCCAAACGGAAGACTTTTAAAGCCTTGACGGATTATTAAATGTTTGGCACTTTATTAAATTAAATAAGCTCCAAAATTACATACAAATCAAAGGAGTAAGAAACAATAAATAGTTACTCAGCAAAATGCCTCTGCAGCAGCCAGCAGCACTGTAGCTTAAGCTCCCACAATGGTGTGGCAAGAGGACCTGTGGATTGCCATGCTTGCTCCCCAGAGATGGCTAAACAGGGACGCACATCTACCCTTCCACACTGACTTTCCACAACAGTCCAGCTCTCATTCATTGCCGTCCCATTCGTACCACCTTTTACACACAGGAAACGCACTGTGACGCACATACTAACAAGCCAAGAGCTTTATTGATGCAGCAGGCACTTACAGCAAACCCGAGCGCAGCCTTCTCTCGGAAGACGGGATGTCTGTACAAACGCTCAGGTTTTTCCACTTCAGAAACACAAGCTCTCCCTTCCACCACAGCCCCTGGACCCACACCTGCCCAAATCACCCCTCCCCAATTTAAACAGGCAGTGCACATGGGTACACCTGACTGAAACTGGCCAGTCACTGCAGACGGTCCAATGTCAGTTCTGCAGTACTTTGTAGACAAAGGCAGAGACTCAGATCCTGCGAAGGATTTAGGAAATATTAAGACGAATTCTCCCTCCACCTCGAAAACCAAGTACATTTCAGCAGATATATGTCCTGAAATATTTAATTAGGAGTTCCTAGGAAGATGGTCCATTGTCAATCCCTTCTTCACCAGCCTGGGCATCCAAAATTCTTCTCAAGGTAACATGAGTCCTTTTTTTAAACAGTCTTTCTTGCTGTAAGAACTCTTATAATGGAACCTAGTCCTCCTACAGCTAAGGCCTGTGGAGCAGGAAAAGGAAACGTGTCAAATTGATACCTGGCTGGCCAGGGGAGGGAGAACCTAACTTGTTGGGGAGACAGGACCACACACTCCCAGGCCTAAATCCCACCATGTCTCAGACCTCTGAAAAAAAGATTTTTGCAATGGTGACTATGTTCTAGGGAAGGAGCCCCATCCTAGAGCCAAGGGTCCCGAAGATGCAAACTCTTGAGGCAGAACTGGCTTGTGACCAATGTCCCCAAGGACACAGTAGAGCCCAAGCTGCCTTGAGACAAGCACAGACCTAGGCACAGAAATGCACACCAGCCCACCAAGAACTGCCTGCCAACAGAGCTGGCACCAAATCACAGGGGATGAAAGGTCCTGGCTGCTACACCACACAGAAGGCTTGCTCACTCCCCACGTACACAGCCCCCCGCAACTACAGAGCCCAGCACTTCGCTGATGCACCAATAAGAGAAGCACTCTTCAAACTCAACAATGGCTGGGGATGCAGCTCAGTGGTGTCAGTGGTAGGGTGCTTACCTAGCATACAAGAGGCCCTGACCCAAAACCACACACATTAAAAAAAAAAAAGCGCAGCACTGAGCCTCTTGAGAAGGCCAGTGTGTTAGTCACAGTCTGCTCCCCTTAAATGGCAGATGTGCTCACTGAAGCACTACGGGGGTGGGGATGAGGGGGAGTACAGCAGCACATAGGCAGGACACAAGCTTGACACATGGCATTGCTCCCAGCCTTTTCTGCTTCACGTGGATGAAGGTCACATTAAATGACTCAAGGTTTCTGCCCAATGTCCCTGCTGGTATGTGAGGCTGAGGTCAGGGCAGGAAGCCCTTAGAGCTGGTGGTAGGGCCTGCATTTCTAAGATCTCAACTCCTCCTCTCCACCAGTGCAAAGTATCATGAGGCCCCAAACAGCCAGTCAGCCTCCCTCCTACCTCATGCTAGCATCCCCATGTCCTGCACCAAGGGCACTCCATCCTGCCTGGCCTAAATCCACAGCTAGAAAGCAAAGGAGGCCACCAGTAGCAGAGACAAAAGATCCCTACCAGGTGTTTCCATGGGAGAGTGAGTGACCAGATGTTCAGGTTTAGGCCTGTCACTCTCAGGCCCATCAGAATGCCTAGTTTGCTCTGGAAAATCTGGCCTGTTGGACTGAACCCCAGGGTGAGTCAGCAGGCTGCTTGCAGGGGTGCAGTGTTCACATACCTTTTCGTGCCACTGGAGTAACACTGCACTGCTATTTTCTGTGGGCTTCTCAAACCCTTTATAAATGTACTTCATTAACAAGTCAATGCCATTTCTGTCCAGTGACTGCACAGCCTGCTCAATTTCGCTGCTCTTAAAGTTTGTGAGCACTTTCAGCACCACGCCCTGGGCTCGTTCCTACAGAAGAAAGAAAAAGAGTGAGGCCCACAGCTGCAGCCCAGGCACCACTGCATCCCCAGTTGGATGCAGAAACACCAAACCAAATGCACAGGATTCATCAGAAAACTGCCCAATTTCAATTCATCTAGCATGGGTTTAAAAAAAAAAAGTGGGCTAAAATTCTTTTATTACTTTAAATTTCAATGTATGTCTTATTTATGCCAATAAATTATTCCTATAATTTTGAAGGGAATAAACACCACATTTTTGGTTTTGGTTTTGGTTTTTTTGTGGTGGTAAGAGGTAGAACCCAGGGCCTTGGGCTCCAAACAAGTGCTCCACCACTGAGCAACCTCTTCAGCCCCAGGCCTCACTATGTTTGATGACACCAGCAAGGCCTTATAAATGCCACAGAATCACAAAGTGAAGGTGGGTTTAATGGGCTGCAGCTCCTCATTGAATTCACACCCAGTACCAGAGGAGCCCTTCTCCACCTTTGCCACAGTACAGTCTTGGTTGCATCAAGATACTATCACAAGGATGGAGGTGTGGCCCAAGCAGTGGAGCGCCTGCCCTAGAAAAGACAAGTTCAAACCTCAGTTATTGTCCATCCCCCATCTCCCCAAAAAAACAGATAGTACCACACAAGATGCCAGAATCCTAGCTATGGGGAGGTTCTTTTCCCTGAACCAAGTTTTAGCCAACCTCAGTAACTAGTCACAGTAAGCGTGACTAGTTTTTAAAAGACAAGAAATCCAAAAAACACCTAAAATACTCATGCAGATAAAGCCTATTCAGTAGCTTATGAAAGCATAACCACTGAGAAGTCCCACCTGGCAGCTAATTTATCTGTTCTGCTGATCAGCAAGGCTGGGTTGACTTCTCATCCCACCAGGCCCTTGAGACAAGCGAACGTTTCTTTGAGCTTTTACTATAAACACTGACAGCTTTGGGGCTGGACTGTAGCTCTGTGGCAGAGTGCTCGCATAGCATGCACAGTGCCCTGCCTTCCATCCTCAACACGCACACAAGCGCAGTCACTGACAGCTTTGATGTCAGAGGAGCCCCAACACCTGGGGAGAGCCAAGAGGCTTCCATGGAAGCACTGCCCAGTGGAATCCACTCTCCTTGGCTCAGTTTAAGCAAACGCTGTCCAGACCCTCATGAGCCTGGGAAAACAAACAACCACAGCTCTGGTCCTGATAGCTCCCAGCAAAGCTACAGTGTGACCCCTTTACCTTCACAGCTTGATTCTTGGTGTTGACTGGAGAGTTCCGCAAGGCCGCATGGAATGCCCGAAGCATGTCCCCTGTGCATCATGGCCAGTTAAGGATGACTAGGTTCACGTGTGACCATGCTTTCATTAATGACCTCATTTCAAAAACAGCTCAAGAGCAGTCAGAGGGATCTTTACACCACCCACTAGCTAGTGCCAGCCTCTTCTATGTGGGCACAGTCTGGCTTTAGCCTATAGCTTTCCTGAGCTATAGGCTCTTCCTGAGGGAGAGCAGAGGGTACCTCCTTCCTTCCAACTCCCTCTGAAGCTTCCTCCTCAAAGCAACTGCTGTTAAGAAGTACTTGCAGTAAAATCTGCGTTTGCTCACAACTGCTCAGTGCTGTGCACTGCATGTTCCCCACTGGACAATTATAGCAACCACGCACATGAAGTGGAAGCCATTCCCATCCTCATTCTAAAAGGGGAGGACAAAGGCACAAATAGGTTTAACTCTTCACCTAATACTTCTTATCAAACTGAGGAAATCAAGATGTGCTAAAGCCTCTATCTTCCAGGTCAATGATGTCCCATTGCTATAAGAAACTTTTTTTTGTATGTGTGGTACTAGGGCTTGAACTCAGGGCCTACACCTTGAGCCACTCCACCAGCCCTTTTTGTGTTAGGTATTTTTGAGATAGGGTCTCACGCACTATTTGCCCAAGCTGGCTTCAAACCATGATCCTCCTGATCTCTGCCTTCTGAGTAGCTAGGATTACAGGTGTGAGCCACAGGCGCCTGGCCAAGAACTTTCTGTCAACAAAATGAGCGAGTCTCTGCTTCCCCACTGCCAAACCTCAGATGCAATCATAACACCACATACTTTACTGAGTTCTGAACACCCAGCACACAAAAGAAAATTACAATCTGGGTTAGGTCCCCAAAGGTGACACCTAATTTAAACTGAATTACATCACCCACCTTTCATTTCCTCATGTGAAACACTGGCTTCAGTCAAAAAGCTTCAAAAATAGAACAAGGAATAGCCTCTACCCAATCAGGTTTTTTACTCCTATTCATGCAGCAATATCCACGTGTGCACAGAGAGAGCCTCTAGTGCAAAGCTGAACTCCCAGCTTCCCTAATGTGGGCTCCATCTTGGCCAAGCTGCTCTATGCCACCAGGCAAGCCACTCCCAGCCCTAGTTCAACTTGGCTCTGATCCACCTTGTATACCCTAGAGGCAGCCCACCCCCGTATCTTTCAGCTTCTTCCCCAAACATGGGACAGTCCTAATATGAGCCACTGATAACCTCTACCTCATAATCCTTTTCTAATTTCGTGTACCCAAAGCAATAGGCAGGGTCCCAGAGGCTTAATGGGAAATGTAGGCTAGCTTGCTCTTTCTTCCCTTCACCCTAAACCAATGGGCAAGCATAATCATTCAGAAAATGGGTGGGGAAAGGCAAGGATGACAGAACTAGTCCATAGGAGCAAAAAGTAACTAAGTTAGCTCCCTGCAATCACATGCCATTTATGAAGCTGGCCTTCATACCCAGATGGCTTTAGGCCATTCCAGAGAACAGGTTGTGACAGCTGGGGGACCCTACCCAGCCCCTAATTCTCCTCTAGACTGTACTCAATCACAACACTACAGACATTTTGGACAGGATGATTCCTTAATGTGGGACCTGCCCTGTGCACTGCAGAATGCTTAGCAGTATTCCTGGTCTCTACTCAGCAGTACCCCCAAACCATGACAATCAAAATCTTTCCAAACACTGCCAAAATTCCTGGGAGTTACAGGAAGTGCAAAAACCACTGCTCTAGACAGACTCCTTCTCTAAAGACCAGAACCTGTTTCACCGAACAAGCAAAGGAGCTACAGCAACACTTTAGAACTGCCACAGGGTCTCACATCCTGGGTCAAGTGCTTCAACCCATCATCCCATTCCAAAAACCTTTGTGACAAGAACCTTTATTCCCATTTTCCGTTTCAAGGCAATGAAACTGAGGATGAGAAGGGAAATAACCTGACCAAGGTTGCAAAGCTAGGCTGCACAGCTGGCCTTAAAGCCAATCTCTTTCTACAATCCTGTGTTGCTGTCCTCCCCTAGATCCTGCCGTGGCCTGAACACTTGCTGTATGCCTCCTAGTGATGCTCCCATGGAACCGATCTCCCACCATGACACAGTCCCAGCACAGCCCTAAGACAGGCCTCGCCCCAGCCTCCCTCACCTCAACCAACCTCTCCCTGCTCTCCACTCCTAAGACTCTTAGAGGTTCTCTAGTTAAATGTGATCATCTAACACAAGTTCAACACTCCACACTCACATATTAGTTCTATGCTCCTCTCTACATGGGCCCATATTTGCCAGGATCTCAGTTCTCATCTGCTAATCTCCCTTTCCTCAATTCCAACAGGTACGCTCTCCATGGTGATAAGACTTCTAGAAGCCACTGCCAGCTGTAAAGTAACTACTTACCATCCCCTGCATGTGCTAAGCTAAGAAGCTGCCTCAAGGAGGTGCTTGTGGAAATGTGACCTTCAACAAGCCCCACCAGCAACAAGACCAAGGCAGCAGCTGAGGAGGCATGGTCTCTTCATCTGTGGAACAGGATTTTAGGCCAAAGGCCTGACTCTGGAGCTTGTTCAGCACTGACGGCCCATGAGCAAGGCCCCACACCAGACTGGAAAACCAACCAACCTTCAGGGGGCCCTTCTCATGACCCCGTTTCACCAGCAGGGTAAGTGGGCAATCTGGATGGGACAGGAAATACAAGTTTGAACCTCCACCTTTGAAAACACATTCCTGTTCAAACAGAGTCTTAAGGCTTTTGTTTTAAAGGCATATTGGAGGAGCACTGCAGGACTCCTCCCAAAAGCAGTGGGCCTGACTTCCCAAGCTGAGTCAACTGATTAAATACCTAGAACCTGATTTATATACAGCAGGAGCCTCCGAGCCTGTCCTGGCAAGTGCGGGGGGAGGGGTACATACTTCCTGTAACACTACTGGAATAAAGAAAAGGTCTTCCTGTGAGAACAAGTCAGTTTCCTGTGCTCAGACTGCTAGGAGATGAAGCCGGCTGTGACAATCACCTCTATTTTTACTCTTCTGTTCTAAATACTTGTTTCTGTGGCCACAGAGGAACGGTCATTTCCAGTCTGGGGGCTCTACTTTCAGACTTCGCTCCACCCTATAGGGTTTTTCATAGCTTTAAACGATTAGCTTTTTCCAGCTTTCTGCATAAGGCAGTTACTGGAGGAGCCACAAGTCACTTGTTGAGCATGCTTGAGACCATGGAAGTCCAAAGCTCAAGGTGTTCAGAGGAAAAGTCTGGCCTAAGGCTGCAGCCTTCATCCTCCCCAACCCTGAGTCCTTTCCTCTCCGCTGCCACCCACCCGCTATATTCATGCTGTGCTGCAATCGGGCCCAAGAACGCCAGTAGAGCAGGCCCAGAAAGACTGCACCCAGCCGCCCAGGCCTCTCAATTACTCAGAGGTGGTTCACCTCGTCCCCTTCCGCCAACCAGCCCCCGAGAGTAGCCCTATTCCTGCAAGGAGGTATGGAAGCATGAGGGGCCCATGCAGGGGCAGCCCGAGGGGAAGAGGAGGCCGACGGGAGGCGGGGGCGTGCGGGGGGCCGCGCTGCTGAGGAAGGCACCCGGAGGAGGGGACTGGGGACACCAGGACCGAGGGCTCAAGGCCCGAGGGGAGCAGGATCGTTAGGCAGATGGAACACCAGCCCGAGGGGCTCAAGCGGGATGAGCAAGGCGGGAAGACCCCGGCCCAAGGGGACGCGAAGGCAGGGTCGCCGCGAAGGCCCGAAGGATATTGCCGCAGGAGTCCGTCCACCTCGCTAGGGTCCGGGCCTGGCTCCCCGGCCGCCGCGGCCGCCTCCTCTTGCTCGTCCACAAATTTGTTCTCGTCAAACTCGTCGATGTCCACTCTGCGGAAACGCGAGGATAGCGTGTTCCGGGCCATGGCGGGAGCTCGGCGCACGCCTCAGCCGGCTCCGCTCCAGGCCCGACCTCGACTCCGCGGCGCTCGGCTGGACACCGGCTTCAGCTCCGGTTCGGGGGTGGGAAGCGGTCGCCAGGCACCTCCTCCACCTCCTCCGCGCGCAGCCGCCGCTGCCCGCCCACTTCCGGTATACGCCGGAACCGGAAGCAGCTGGGCGGGAATAGTGGAGGCGTGCCCCGAATGACGTGAGCCATTGAGAGCTGGTATGGTGGACTGGCTGCCTCCAAGCACTGACATTTTCACCGGGCCTCTGTCTTCCCGCGTGGGGACGTGCAGGCCTGGCGTGGTGAGCGCCATAATTGCGCTTGTTCTTCGGCTTTCCCCCTGCGTCGAAGGAGCCCCTGGTCAGGCAGGGGCCCGCCCGGACTCTGGGGGTGATCACTGCCCAGACCGAGCGGACACCCGACCCGCAGGAGAAAGCGCCCGGATCCGCTTCTCGAGTGCTGGGCAGGCTTCCTGAACTCTGAGGCCTGAAGGATGAGTAGGTCTTATAAGCTCCGGGGAGTGGCAGGAAGGATTGCCTGGGTCTTGGAGCCCTGACCAACACAACACTACAGAAGGGGTTGCCTCTGCCTTGTACTTAGGGGTGACCCTACTGTTAAAGGAAAGGAAGACTTTAAGACGTTTAAAGTGTATTCAAGGGGCTGACAAGACGCTGAAGACGTTTTAACTTGAGGATGTGGCGACCCCTAGAGGGGGCAGAGGAAAGTAGGACCCGTGGCCACCATACTGGCACGAAGGGCGAGGCTGAATTCCCAGAATCTGACAAGAGGGAGAGGATAGGGCAGAGTCTAGGACGGCTGGGATGCCATTGTTAGGCTTTTGAGGGTTGTGTGTGACCTCTGACCTTAGCTTTAATCTAAAACAGGTCTTTTCAACTAGTATGAAAACTTTTTTCATCACTTCCCTTTTTTTGGCAGCACTGGAGCTTGAACTCAGGGCCTCATGCTTGCTAGGCAGGCGCTCTACCATTTCAGCCACTCCACCAGCCCTTTTTTGTGTTGGGTATTTTCGAGATAGGGTCTGGTGAACCATTTGCCCTGACTGGCCTCAAACTATGACCCTCCTGATATTTGCCTCCTGAGTAGCCAGGATTACAGGCGTGAGCCATGGCGCCCGACTTTTGAACTGGAAGTGTTACTCAAGCGCTATGGCACCTGCTTTGCAAGCACAAAACCCTGAGTTCAAACCCCAATCCCACAAAAAAAAAAGGTCTATAGTTGAAACGTGATTTCTTTTTATAATTTGATTAATTCCATTAAAACATGTCTACTGATGAGAAAATGCTGCTAGACTGTGAAGCAACCTAACCTTGGATGCTAAAGATACAGACTCCCGTAGTAGCAAATAGGTGCTTAAAAGTCTCAGGTCCTGGAAAGAGTCAATACACACAAGCATTTCAACTCCATACCTGAGGAGAAGTCTTTGTGACTCAGGCCACAGACAGCAGAAATTCATATCCCCAGAACATCCTGGACTGGAAGAACTTGAAAGCAGAAATTATCATTTTACAAGTAAAAAAATCCTCAAATAAACTGGTGCATGAAATAATATTCCAGCTCATGGTCATGGACTTCCATTCCAGTCAGATACACAGAATTCTTAAATCCATAATAGTCAGCTGGGTGTGGTGGTAGACGTCTATAATCCCAGCATTCAGGAGGTTGAAGCAACAGGATCTTGAGTGCAAGGCAGCCTGGGCTACACAGTGAGATCCTGTCTCAAGACAAACAAAAAGGCCAGGTGTGGTAGCTCAAACTTGTAATCCTAGCTACTTGGGAGATAGGGATCCAGACTGTAGCTCAAGGCCAGTATCTCAACCGATAAAAGCTGGGCACAGTGGAGCAAACTTGTCATCTCACTATGTGGGAAGGGTAAATAGGAGGACTGACATCCACACCAGCCTGGACATAAAGTGAGACCCTATCTCAAAAATAACCAAAGCAAAAATAAAAAAAAGCAAAAAAAAATCCATATTATGTCCAGATAACTAAATGCTGAGGAAAAGTCCACTCGGTACCTGTGATTAATGGTGCAGTCTTAACGCAGATGGAAACAGCCCTGGAAGTTCTGAGCAGAGCAAGTTTGAAAAGGGGACTGAAATCCTAGCTACTCAGGAAGCAGAGATTAGGAGGATCAAGTTTTAAAGCTAGCCTGGGCAAATTTCTGCAAGACCCTATCTCGAAAAAACCCATCACAAAAAAAGGAGCTGGCTGGTGGAGTGCCTCAAGGTATAGGCCCTGAATTCAAATCCCAGTACCACAAAAAAAAAAGGGGTGGGGTAGATCTCTAGCAGCTGCATTGAGAACACATCTGGGAGCAAGAGCCAAAATAGGTGGTTTAGGAGGTGACATCAGTGACATCTGAGCAATGGTAGCTCAGGGCAGGCAGATGCCAAAATAGGGTGATATGTGTATTTTCAAGGTAGAGCCCACAGGATTTGCTGGTAGATCAGGTATAGAGAGTCACAGAGAATAAACATGTAGGATTGGCCATGTGGCTCAGTGGTAGAGTGCTTGTCTAGCATGCTGGAGGCCCTGGGTTCAATCCCAGCATCACAAAAATAAAAAAATTTAGAAAAATGTACAGAGATGAAGAGCTATAAGCATCTGGAAATTTGGACAACAAAGCCCCTGTGCACATTTAGACTTCCATATAAAACTAACACATGCCAAGAATGTTCTCTGTCTGGTCTCTTTTCCCCACATACATCTCTCCACCTCCCAGAAGCCTGCTTCACTGAGGTCTGAGGCAAACTTTATTATTTTTATTTATTTATTTACTTATTTTGCAGTGCTGGGGTTTGAACTCAGGGCTTTCACATTGAGCAACTCCACCAGCCCTATTTTGTGATGGGTTTTTTTGAGATAGGGTCTTGTGAACTATATTTGCCCAGACTAGCTTTGAACCAAAATCCTCCTGATCTCTTCTTCCTGAGTAGCTAGGATTACATGAGTGAGCCACCAACACCCAGCTGGGGCAAGCTTTATTAATTCACTCATCCAACAAGCCATCCAGGTGCTGGGCCTGGAGACAAAAAGACTGAATTAAGTAGTTCTGCTGCCCAGGTTGGCTGTGGAGACAGACACATAAAAGCATATCACTTAACTCAATGTTTCTGGGGCTAAGGAGGATTACACAAAGGGCTTGGATGTAAGAGGAGGTTGCTACCCTTTGAGGTGTGGAGGAAGTGACACCTGACAGCAACAAGACAACCTGCTTTAACTAGAGCTTTAACTAGGTGGTGTGTCTTCATTATAAGGAAATGAAATGACACCTGCTGGTTGGGACAGTAGTGGAAACACCCACTTAGCCTAAAAACCTTCCCAGCTTTAGCAAAGCCCAGTTACTCATACCTGTAATCCCAGCTACCTGGAAGGCAGAGATGTGGAGGACTCATGTTTGAAATCAGCCAGAGCAAAGTTAGCACAAGCCCCTGTGGTCCCAGCTACATGAGAGGTGTAGGTAGGAGGATTGTGTGCAGGCCAGCCCAGGGGAAAAAAAAAAATCGAGACCCCACCTGAAAAATAAAGCAAAGAAAGGCTGGGGCATGGCTCAAGAGGTAGAGCACCTGCCTAGTGAGTAAGAGGCCCTGAATTCAAACCTGAAACTGCAAAAAAATGTTATGTTTTGCAGCTCTGTGAATTCCTATGTGATTGAAGTGTTTATTCCACTACAAGTTCAGATTAGGTTCTAAATGGCCTGAGTGGAAAAACTGGGACCTGAGGTGGGAGGCAGCTGACTAGGGATGGCATAGAAAGAACTCAAATTTAACCAGTCACATTTATTCATTCATTTCATTCATTTGGGGAACAAAGCAGATCTCCCAGTCTGCAGGGCTCTGAGCTAGGCACGGGCGGTCGGGGTGTAAGGGAGTGAGGGGGGTTGCTCAAGCTAACGGCAGTGGTACTTGCATCGATTAACATACATCAGGTCTTGTGCTGAGAGCTTTACCTGTATCTTCTCTAATCCTTTTAAATACACCGTTTTATAAGTGAGAAAGCTGAGACTCAAGAGAGGGGAAGGGATTTGCCAAGAATATCAAGTAGTACCTGGCAATAGAGCAAGAATTTGAAACCGTTTGGACTCAGTAAACAAAAGTCTATGGAAGCTGTTTGCATTGCCACATGTTGTCTCTACCAAAAGATGCTGCAGTTGGATCACAGCTGGCTGACCCCACCCCTGCCCGCCCACCCCGCACCGTCAATCCTTTAAGGCAGGAGTCACGTCACCGCACCCTTGAAAACCCTCACTCTTGCCCAGGTAGTAGCTCACGCCTGCAATCCCAGAAATCAAAAGGCTGTGGCAGGAGAGGCAAACGTTGGAGGTCACCCGGGGCTCCACAGCAAGTTCCAGGCCAGTCTAGGCTCTACAATGTGCTTCAAAAAAACCGGCGTGTTGATGCACGCCCCTGATCCCAGCTACCTGAATACCTTAGATTAGGAGGGTCACGGTCCAGGCCCGCCTCAGGAAAAAACGCGGTATCTACCCGAAAAATAGCTAAAAGGAAAAGAGGGCTGGGGGCGTGGCTCAAGCGGTACAGCGCCCGCCAAGCCAAACAAAACAAAAAACCCTCACCCTCATCCCCTTCGCACCCCCATACCCCCAGCGCCAGCTCACAAGGACCCAGGCTGGGAGATCTGCAGGCTGCCTGAATGAATGAAATGAGCGAATAAATGACTGGTCGAATTCGAGCCCTTACTATGCCATCCCCGGTCAGCTGCCGCTCACTGCAGGACTCCGTTTCCCAAACTGCGCTGCTCAGGGCACGAACACAACACCGGAGAAAAAAGGCCGCCGCCGGTCGTGCGGCCTGGGCGGAGCGGGACGTACCACCGCGATCCTGGGGAGGAGGGGAGGGGCCAGGGCGCCCCCATCGCGACGCCATTGGTCGCGCCCGTCGTCACCCGGCAGTAGTTGCAGGGTTGAGGCCCGCCCCTTCCTCTTCCCCTCGGACCAGGCAGTGGTGGCGCGGAGGCTGGTGCGGCTATGGTGAGGATGCGGGAATCCGGCGCCATCCGAGCGCTGTGGGGTCGTGGGGACCGGGTGGAGGCAGCGAACTGAGCCCGGGGATCCCATCTGCCTGCCGGGTCCGCGGGGTACCGTGCGGGGCGGCCTAACCCCACCGCAGCCCGCCTCCCCCCTCTCCCCTGCGGGCTCGGGCTGCGGAAACATGCGCGGCCGGGGCCTGCCTCTCGCGGTCTGCGGAGTGCGGTGGCGGCCCTGCCCGGTAGCCCTCCTGGACTTGGACACTCCCGACGGGCCTCGAGCACCCCGCCTGAGCGGTGCTGGCCTCGACTGCCTGTCGCGGGGTGGCTGACCCACACCCTTGTCGCTCAGGCTAAGATCAAGGCTCGGGACCTTCGCGGCAAGAAGAAAGAGGAGCTGCTGAAACAGCTGGACGACCTGAAGGTGGAGCTGTCCCAGCTGCGCGTCGCCAAAGTGACAGGCGGCGCGGCGTCCAAGCTCTCCAAGATGTAAGTGGCCGGCATGCAGGGCACGTGTGCATTGGGAGCGGTTGTGGGTTTAGAAGGCGGATTCAGGAAGTAGCCGTGCAGGTGGCCGCTGTGTGTGCTGACCCTTCGCTGTCTTCCGGCCCGGCCCGCGCCAGCTTCTGAGGCCGGAGAAGGAGCTGGGTATCCCTAAAGACAGAAGCATCATGATGCTGATGCTGCCTATTTGGACCTTTCCCCTCTTGGTTTCTCCTCCTTCACCTCGTGCCTTGGTGACAGGTGCCTCGCATCCTTAGCTTGGAGTTGTAGTCACTTAACTCATGTAGAAGGATCAGGGCACTTGAGAAGGAAACTTGGGTTTGGAGTCAGTCCCCCTGGCTGCACATTGCACTTGTCCCACCCTACATGGTGGGAAGGTTCCTTCACTTCCCAGGGTATAATGACTCTTCAAGACCAAGCTTACCACGTGGTGGACCCTCCCTTGTACCCTGACTGGCTCCTATTAACATGACTACAGATTGATAATTCCCCAGCCTGCTCCTAGGTTCGCTGTCACAGGTGCCCCGCAGGATTTCAGCTTGGAAAGGGGCGTTTTGAGTGGCTTTCCTGTGACTTGCCCTCCTCTCGTTCAGATTATCATGGACTGTCTTCATAGCCCTTGGGATAAATTCTCTACCTTGGATTGAAAGTCCTATTTCACCTCCTTTAAGCCCGTGCTTTTGTCTGAACAGTGCTTCAAAGCTCAAAAGCAAGAACTCGCTGCCAACCCTTCCCTTCTTGTTCCTAGTTCCTAGTCCTGCGATGCCTGTGCCATGTGTGTTCTCACCTCAGAGAGACTCACAGGGGTCAAGTGACTACACCTCAGGCCTTTTTCTCTTGGGTGAATATGGATGGGCTGGTGGAGCGCTTCCACTGTCCCTTCCCTGTGGTATCAACGCTGAGGTCGAATGAGATGCCTTGGGGAGTGCTGTGTGTCTTCCCCATCTTCACTGACATCTTTGTTCCGTAGCCGAGTTGTCCGCAAATCCATCGCCCGAGTTCTCACAGTCATTAATCAGACTCAGAAAGAAAACCTCAGGAAATTTTACAAGGTGAGCAGGGCTGGGACGGTTGTTAGCGGGAAGCAAATTCCAGCCTACCCCTGGCCAGGAAGCATTGTGAAGAGGCCCACTGGGTTGAGCAGGATGGGAGTGGTTGGGCCTGCCATACACTGGCTTGTGGCACTAAAATGTCAATGTGAGATGAGGTGGGGGTTCTGGTTAGTTTGGGGGGTGTGGTTGTACTGGAAATTGAACGCAGAGCTTTATACATGCTGGGCAAGAGCTCTACCGCTTGTATTGTGCCCCTAACAAAACTTGGATTTGGATTTGAGTCGAACTAGTTGAGTGCTGTTGGGCAGAAATAACTGGCAGTAACGGTGTTGAGTTGGTTGGTTGGTTTTGCAGTGCTGGGGATCGAACCCAGGGCCTTGTACATGCTAGGCAAACACTACCATGGAGCTGTCGTTTTGCCTCTTACTATGGCTTTGGTGCGCATCAGTCATTGCAAACACCTCATCTGTTTTCAGATGGGGACCCTGAGGCTTCCAGAGTTACATTGCCTAGGGTCACCTCCCATTGGGCAGGTTTTAAGTCTTTCACTGATTGGCTGCCCAGATATCTAGGCTGTTTTTCTGTCATTAAAGTCATCTGGTGGTGGCTTATTACCTCTGCAAAGTGTAACCAAATTAGTGCTGGTGTTTGACACACCTAAAAAGCTATTACAAGCTCCAAGAACACCACTAGGGTGCTGTCACCAGCCAGGGGTGTGCACAATTGTATAAGAAGTTTTCTCAGGAGTAGGTCAGGAGCTTTCCTTAGGCTCCGAGGGGACCAAATACAGGTGGTTGCTAGGAAGAGTTGCGTTGGTAACCATCCACTGAGTGCTCTCTCCCATAGGGCACCTCACAATTAAGAAAGTGGAGGTGAAGGACTTACTTCTGTCGTGGTGCTGTGCAGTGGGACTTTCTGTGGTAGTGGAAATGTCCTATGCTGCTGTGTCCCTGGCCTCGTGTGACTGGGGACCACTAAACATGAGTGGTGACTAAAGAAGTCAGTCTTTTATTTGGGTGCTGCTGGGCTTTGGGTTGGTTTGTTACCGTGTGGGCGCCTTGCAACAGCGACATGCATCCAGTGGTTCCTCTGTTGGGAGCAGCAATCTAAACAAGTTAGTAACCTTGAAACCGACAGGGGCCTGACTAGTGTGTGTGGACAAGACTCTTGTTTTCAAGTCCCCTCCAGGGTTCACCCTAAACTTACACAGCTGCTTTCTGTGCTTCTCTGCTCTTGAGCTGCAGCCAAGCCCTGGCTTTGGAGGCTGTGACTTCCATAAGAGCCATCCTGAAGCGCTTGCCTCCTCCCCATCGAGTTCTCTGTTCAGTCCCCCCCATTAGCTTTGGGGTCCTTAAGCAGGGACCCGGCACAAGGTCTTGTCCTAAGGGGGACATCACTGAGCCACCTTACTATTAGAACCTTCACGGAGGTGAAGGGGGGGAGCCAATTGTGAAGATGCCAGATAGGCTGAGCACAGCAGCAGTGGTGCACGGAGCCCAAGAAAGTAATAGTGCAGAGCTTTGGCCTTGTATCCATAGAACTTGGCCATGCCTTTCTTTGAAATTTGGTGTTACAATGGAGCATTGTCACAGGAAGAACCTCCAGATGGGTTTTTTTGTTTGTTTCTCTTTTGGGCAGTACTGGGGCTTGAACTCAGGGCCTTCACCTTGAGCCACTCCACAGCCCTATTTTTGTAAAGAGCTTTCTGAGATAGGGTCTCGAAGACTGTTTGCCCAGACTGGCTTCAAACTGTGATCCTCCTGATCTCTGTTGCTAGGATTACAGGTGTAAGCCACCAGCACCCAGTGACCCTCCAAATTTATGAGTCCTGTGTAGCTTAGAGCTAAGGTAGCAGTGACCACCCCAACCTGGTGGGTCCCACCTATACTGGGTGCAGCCCTATACCCAGTTGTGGTGTGGCTTTGACTTCATAAAACTGGCAGTCTGGTACGTGGGAGAAATACTGAGGTAACCTCTTGGCCCAGTAAGTTAACACCCTTATATAAAATAAGGATAGCCTCACCAGTCTTGGATTTGGGGGAATTAAATGGGCTGCTGAGCAAGTGTGGGGCCCCCTGACCTCGAGGCTGTCATTGGCAGCCTAGTGCTCTAAAGCCCTACAACTTACTACATTCCAGTTTCCCGTCCTGGGGCCCTTGTGCCAACCACACTTCCCCTGAGTGTCTTCCAGCATCTCCCAAATAGCCTCCCGGGACCTACTGGTGCTCATTCACCCTGCTGTCTGTGCTAGGGCAAGAAGTACAAGCCCCTAGACTTGCGGCCCAAGAAGACTCGAGCCATGCGCCGCCAGCTCAACAGGCACGAGGAGAGGCTGAAAACCAAGAAGCAGCAGCGGAAGGAGCGGCTGTACCCTCTGCGCAAGTTTGCAGTCAAGGCCTGAGCAGCGTCACGACAATAAAAACCGAAACTGGCTTGAGTTGCTCTGTACTTGCTGCTGTTGGGCGTGTAGAATGGAGGTGGGGACTAGTACCAGGTGCGGGGCAGGTTCCTGCTGGTAGCTGTTGGCTATCCTGTTACGCAGTGGGATTGTCCACGCCACAGGGATCTGATGGTGTTCTCAGTTACTTCGAGCCTCTGGTGTGGAACTGTCTTTGAGCCCTTGGCAGGGACAAGGGACAATCAGGTTTGAGGAATAGCCACAGTGGTGGTACATCCCTTGAAGGGTGCTGGGTGACTTGTGCAGTGGACTTGTCATTTTTGGTGATCAGCAGCTCCAGATACCAAGAGTTTCCCTTTGGAGGTGAAGACACAGGCATGGGCCACATCCAGGGCTCCCTGCAAAAAGCAACACTGCCAGGAGCTCTGGGTTCACAAGTTCTGACCCCAGTATCCCTGCAGATTCGGGGGTCTTTTCCACTGGTGCTGTAGGCCCACCCTTACCTTCAGGTTCTCAAGGCACTTTCCAGTTTTGAGGTCCCACACTTTCACCTGAAAGTAAAAACAGGCAGAAGTGTGGGGGGGGTGCAGGGGCCTCTCCAGGCCAATGTGGTATCTTTGAGATCACCTCCTCCATGGCAGCACCATGGGCTGGGGCTTGTCTACAGGACAGGTTTGAAATGCCTTTGATACAGAGATGTGTCAGTTCTGCTTGCAGCTGTGGGGTCATAGGGTCAGCCTAGACCTCAGAGCTGGCCATTAGGTAGGGAGTGGTCAGTACCTGGGTTGTCTTGGGCCCCCCCCTTTTTTTTTTTTTTAATATTCATATGTGCATACATTGCCCCCTTTTTAGTTAGGACAAATGGGCATGTGGACAGTTCTGGAAATTGGGTGCAGAGGGCTCTGGGCAAGGGGTGGGGGGAGTTACCACGCAGGAGTAGCCGGCACTGGCCAGCTGCAGCTCATCAGGTGAGAATGCTACACTCTTCACCCAGTTGACCTGGCCCTTGAGCTGGATGAGCAGGCTGCTGGTTGTGGGCTTCCAGACACGGACGGTCTTGTCCCAGGACCCTGACGCCTACAGAGACAACTGAGCCAGTGGTGTAAGGCCTCCATGCTCACTGGGCCCCCAAATGGCCTGTGCCCCTTTTAAGAGTCACAACCAGTAGACCAGCCTGGGGCTCAGGAGGCCAGAAGCCGAGTAGCACAGGCAGCTGATGTTTCCACTGTGGCCCTCCAACTCCTGGTAGATGCCAGCTGGGGTCCCCACCCTCAGGTCCCAGATGCGGACACTGGAGTCCCATGAGCCAGTGGCCTGTAGCAGGTGGTGACCATGAGTGGTTCTGGCCCACCTGTTTTGGGGCCACTGCAGCAGGGCAAGGTGATGCTCACCAAGCAGTCAGTACTGGGAGAGAAGTCACTGCTCTGGATGGAGTCCCTGTGACCAGCTAAGCGTCGCAGGGCCTGGCCAGACTGGGGAGAGAGCTGAGCTGCAGGAGGCAGTGGAGGGCTTTGCAGCCCAATCCTGGGCTTCAGGGGTCAGAATCTGGGCAGGAAGGGCAGTCCAGACAAGAAACCTGAGCAGAGGCCCTACAGGTGGAGGGCTGGTGTGTGGGGATGTCTAGATGGGAATGGGCAGTTTGGGGTTGGGGGAAGCACTGAGGGTTTGAGCCATGAGGGCAAGAGGTAGAGGCTGCCACCACTGCTAACCCAAGGCTTGCCAGGCCCCAGCCTCTTACATACCTGCACCTCCCAAAGTATCACCTGCTTGTCCCAGCCTCCTGATGCCAGCTGCTTTGAGTCAGGGCTGAAGCTCACTGTCTCCACGCTCCGATGGTGACCTGCAGGCACCAACCCCAAAGTGAGGAAGATGACCAAGGAATGCAGGACGGGCTGCATGGCTCTCAGGCCCACCCATCTCATCTCACTCACCATTAAGCACCTGCAGACACTTGGCTGTCGTCATATCCCACAGGCGGATGGTGCAGTCACCGGAGGAGCTGGCAAAGAGGTGGCCATCGGGGGAGAATCGACAGAACTTCACAGGGCCTAAGGCAAGGAATAAGGGCTCTGCCCTCTTGCTCCTGAGATTGCACACCTCACCCGAACTCTAGTCCCCTGGAGGTGCCTGGGTTTCCATACCTGGCGTTGAGGCAGGCCTTAGCCTGGAGCACCAGACCCCAATTTGCCCATATGGAATATCAATACTCAAATGCAGGTTCCTCCCAGAAACGTTCATCTGACAATCCAGCCTGGGCTCACTAAGCCAGGCCTGAACCTTCCATACCCTTGGCAGTGATCTGTGCCCTGTCACTGGCTGGTTTTTTCTTCTTGTTCTGTAATACTTACATCTAGGTCCTTACCAGGGACTAGGCATTCTGCATTGCTTCATCCTGTAGGGTAGCACTTGCTACCCCATTCTATGGCAGAAGAGATGGCTAAGGTGACATGACAAGACCACAGTCCAAAAAGTGGTAGATGCAACATGGCTGAGCTTTAAAGACATTTAGGCTAAGTGAGCTACACCAGTCACAGAAAGACAAACATCCCACTGACATGAGGTACCTAAAGCAGGCACATCCCTAGAAAGTTGGGCTGGGAGGGAGAGGGATGAGGAGCTGTTTAATGGGTACATTGATTTATGACTTTGATTTAGTAGGATGAATTCAAGTGTGTTTAAGATTGGGAAGCCCCGCCCCCAGGTATTAGGTCAGGTGTCCACTGGCCCAGCCCTGCCCCAGCTGTCTTGCTCTAATGCCCTGATCCAACCATGGAGGTCACTGAGGTAGGCTCTGCAGAACGTCAGCCCAGCCCAGGGCCTCCCATCTCCACACCTGTGTGGCCACCCAGCCTCCACAGCAGCCGCCTGCTCTGCGTCTCCCAGCCATACACACAGCCATCCTCTGAGGCTGTGAGCAGTGTCCTGCCGTCGGGGGAGAAGGCAGAGCAGTTGACCTGGAAGTAAGAGGATAAACGTGGTGCCATTGGGGCAGGAGACACCTGCACCAAACTGCCCAGGAGCCCGGGGTGGAAGGGCCCAGACTCCAGGCCTCACTCCACAGCCAGCGCTCTGTAAATCTGGGCCTGGAACCGGAAGTCAGCCCATTCTAGAGCCTGAGCCAACTGCGAGTTCAAAAGCTGCTGAAAGCCCTGAGTTCATCCACTTCACAGCCGGAGCCCAAGAACACCGGAGCCATGGTTAGAACCAGAGCTTAGAACCTGGAGTCCATTCTGGAGCATGAACCCAGAGAACACTGTGGAATCCCCACTACACAGACCCAGGAACCACCCCAGACCCCAAACCAGGAGCCCAGCGCCTGGGTAGAGCTCTCTGGGCCTCACCTCTCCACGGTGCTGCCCGAAGAACTTCACTCTCCCCACGGTCAGCGCCCTTGGAGCCCTAATGTTCATGGGCGCCAGATCCTGGGTCCCGCAGCCTCCTTCCTAGGCCCGCGCGGGTCCCGCCTGCGGGGCAGGGCTTAGGACACGGTGGAAGGGATGGGGAAACTGTGTACCATCGGTCTCCATGGTAATCGGGGTGGAGTGCGCAGCCGCAGTGGGATCTCTGAGAAGCCAGGAGGAGCGACAGTCATCAGAGACAGCTTGCTTCCCGGGGGAGGTAGGTCCGTAGCAGGCCGATGGCTGGGAGATGTGGGTTCCCACGCCGCCGCGCAGGACCCAGAGCCGCTCTCGCCGCCGGGCAAGAGTGAGCGCAATGCGGCCGCTAGAGGGCGCGCCTGCCCCGCACTACCAGTCGGTGCCGCTTTAATAAGACCATTTCTCCATGTGCACGACGGGGGCTGTCAGCCCTGCCCCGCAGGACTCCCGGACTGGAGCAAGCAACGGGAGGGCCTGGACCATGACAGCGGTTCATCTGAGGCTGAGAATGACCGGGAGAGGTTGGGGACAATGGCCATCTCCACCCTCCAGGTGTGGGGAGCTGGAAGCAGTGTGTCAAAGGGCAGGGCATTAAGAAGTGGAGCTAATGGGCTCATTCCTGTAATCCTAGCAGCTCAGGAGCAGACATCGGGAGGATTGTGGTTGGAAGCCAGCAGGGGCAAACAGGGCGTGACACCCTATCTCCAAAGTGTTCACAGGTAGCTCAAGGTGAAGGCTGTGAGTTCAAACCCCAGCACCACAAAAAAAAAAAAAAAAGAAGAAGAAGAAGAAGAAGTGGAACTAAGTGAGCACCAGGAAACTGAGATAAGGAGGCTGGAGCTTTGAGGCCAGTCTGGGCAAATAGTTCAAGAGAAACCTATCTCCAAAAGAGCAAAGACTAGTAGTATGGCTCAAGCAATAGAGTTCCTACTCTGCAAGTGTGAAGCCCTGAGTTCAAACCTCATTCCACCCAAAAGAGAAAAAAGAAAACCAGGACAAGTCAGGCAGCACTGAGGTGGGAGGTTCCAGGAGCTCACAGGGTCTCCTGGGCTAGCCTGACCAAAAGCTAGAAAAAACAGGACTTTACACATGAGGAAACTGAGGCTTGGAGAAATGAGGGGAACTTGTCCGAGGTAACTACCCTTAAGAGTGGAACTGAAGTTTCATCCCTTGGCTGACTCAGGTCTACATTAGGACCACCTGGCCTGGATCTGAGAGGTGCTGAGGCCCCTGATTCCTAGTACAGCCAGGAAACTGAGGCCCTAGGAAGACAGCACCTGTAGGACCCAGTCACCCAGCACTTTCATGGCAGAGCTGAGGTCAGAACACAGGCTGTCCTCCACCCTGCCCCAGCCATAGTGGACAAGGGCGGGACAAAGACACCGCCCCAGTGGAGTCCAGCTCCCTGTGGTCGGCCAGGGCAGCTGGGTTTTGGGAGCCTCAAACTCAAGGGTTCCCAGCGGTGACTCACGCCCCTGCCCCCCAGACCCTTTTGCCAGAAACTTCTCACGAGATCACTGTACTTCTGCTCTATTTTAGGCCCCAGACAGTCAGGCGGGTAAGGGGGCGACAATGGCGGCTTTGAGGCGGCCCCACCCCCATTGGCCCTCCCAGGGGGCCTCAGTCACTGAGTTGGCTCCTTAGAGACCATCTGGACTGTGACTAGAAAGCTATCCTCCCCACCCCCAAGACATGGCACCCCAGAGCCGGATCCCCAGGTTCTCCTCTGCTTAACTGCCCCCCCACACCCGAAAAAAAAAAAAAAAACAAGCCTCATTTTGGGCATGTCCCCAGCCACCTGGCCACTCCTGCTTACCCACAAGGCCCAGAAACCCCTCCCCTGCCCAGAGCCTCATCTCCAGAAACCTCGTAGTACTACAGTGATCCCTCAGTCCACAGGGATGACCCTGCTGGCTCTGAATTCTATAACCAGAACCAGCTGTGGTAAATCCCAGGGGCTTGGGCCCAGGGCCTCATGCTTCATCCTGCCTCACCCTGTCCCTGACCCCTGTACACACGGTTCCCTGAGCTCGGCCTCCCTGCTTCACCTCACTTGGGCCTGTTCACATGGAACCAGCCGCCTGGAGCGTCCTTCCCAGCTTTGACATGGACTCTGACTTTCAGATTCACATAAAGCTCAAACATCACTTCCTGGAGTGTAGACAACGTTCCCTTGCCTACCCCAGTCGTCAGACTAAGCTGCTGCCCCAGAGACGGACCTTAGAGCCACAGGTCTGGTTTGGACTTGGGTTCTGCCAACTACCAGCCCTGCAGCTCTGGACAAACTACTTAATCACTCCGTACCTCAGTTTCCTCATCAGTCATGGCCTGTGACGAGCCAGTGAGATATGTTTGTCACATGGTCAGGGGCCACTTATGTTCAAAATTGCTCAGAGAAGATGGGGGGACCCTCCTTTGTCCCTTCAGCTTAAAATTGAGACCCACTCATCCAGTGGATCAACAGCCCAGATCACTTGCTCTGTAGAGAGGGCCTGGTGACAAAGGGCTCTGTGCCCAGCAGGGGCAGAGTGTTCCAGTCCTGGCTCTGGGCAGGGGCTGCACCTACACATGGTGTCCTTGGAGCATCCCAGAAGGCCATAAGATTAGTGGCAGGACTTCAGTGGCTCGGGCCCTCCCCAAAGGACTCTCCTTGGGGTGAGGTGGGATGCATTTTCCTCTATCCCTCTCTCCTCCTTAGCCAGACTGCCCAAAGAGAGGCTCCATCAGGACCCCAGGACCCATCACGTGCTGGCCTTTCTCATATTTTCCCATCCCCAAAGGTGTCCTGGCCTGGACGGCCTTGTCTCCACTCAGCTCAGCAAGCATCTCACAGCACATACTCAGGAAAAAAAAAAAAAAAAAAAAGCCACGTTGTGGGTGCTGGTGGCTCATGCCTGTAATCCTAGCTACTTGAGAGCCTGAGATCGGGAGGATCGAGGGTTGAGGCCAGCCCAAGCAAATAGTTCTCGAGACCCACCCCCCCCACAAACTCCAAAATAACTAGAGCAACATGGACTGCAAGTGTGGCTCAAGCAGTAGAGCCACGGCTTTACAAGCACAAAAGCTCAAATCCGAGTCCCACAAAAAAAAAGAAGCTACAAAACCAGGCACTGGTGGCTGACGCCTATAATCCTCGCTTCTCAGGATTCTCTACTCAGAGATCAGGAGGATCGTGGTTTGAAGTCGGCCCAGGCAAACAATTCGTGAAACCCTATCTCGAAAAAACCTTTCACAAAAAAAGGCTGGTGAAGTGGCTCAAGGTGTAGACCCTGAGGTGAAACCCCAGTACCGCAAACCAAACAAATTACACTGAAGAAGGAGCAGGCAGGTCGCACGGCGTAAGAAAATGGAGCCAAGCACAAGAGACACCCTCCATTTCTTAGGCCTACAAACACGTGGCAAATCTAAAGAGAAGAGCAAGATATTGGGAACCCACAAGTCCCCAGGCTGCTTAACTCCAGGAGTGGGGAGGAGCACCGGGTAGGGCAGGACATATGGGACCTTAAGAGCTCTTACTCGGGTGACATGCGCGCTAAGCACTGGGTGTTCCCTTATTTGTGAAGATTCGGCCCTCTGACCCCTGCCCCATTCCTGTCTCAAGTCCTGAACCATGTTTGGAGACACAGGGTGTGGCCTGGGGGTTGTGGATGGCGTTTTCTGACCAGTGTCCTGGGGAAGCAGGAAAAGCTGTTTTAGGGCAAGAGAGGAAGCAGAGCGTTGGAGGTGAAGTTGGGGCCAGAACAAGAAACATGCAAGTGCCTGCCTCGTAAGCACAAGGCCCTGAGTTCAAACCCCGGTATTGCCCCAAAAAGAAACAGCCAAAGAAACATGCAAGTGCTGCCACAGCCATTGCAGAACTTCGAGCTCACAGAGACAACGGGGGCAAGAGAGAGCCGGATGGCCCTGGTGACGCTGTGCCTCGCTGAGGGAGTGCACGCGAGGCGGCCAGAGGAGGACCTCAGGAGCCAAGAGGCAAGATGCCATCACATGTCCTCTTCGTGCCAACTGCCGGGAGGAGGCCCAGGAGAAGCCAGGCTGCAGTCACCTTCTCAGTTTTCTGCGCAGTGCTCAGAGACGTGGAGGGCCACGTCGAGCAGGAAGGAAAACTTGAAGACATGGCAAAGGCGGACCAGGCTCCTTATGAAAGAGAAATGGAAACTTGTGTCCTAAAGGGAGACTGAAAAGGTGGTCAAGGAGCCCAATGTGCCCACGAGGCCTCCTTCGCCTTTCTTCTTCTTCTGTCTGGTGTCACCCCAAAATCAAAGGGGAGCATCCCGACCTGCCCATTGGTGACATTGCCAAGAAGCAGGGAGAGAAGTGGAAGAGCTCCACTGCAGGCAAGCAGTCTCATGAAAAGAAGGTGGCCATGCTGAGGGAAAAGGACAAAAAGGACATGCTGCCCTCCAAGCCAAAGCGACCCCGATGCAGAGAGAAAGGGAGTTGCAAGGCTGGAAAGAGCAAGGAAAGCAAGAGGAGGAGGATGACGGTGAGGAGTGCGTTGGCTCTCATCTATAAAGCATTTAAGAACCTGTACCCAACTCACTCCTTTAAAGAAAAACAGGGTGGTTTTGTGTAGTTAACGCACCACCGAATGTGTCTTCAGCTAGCCCTGTCCTGGTAGTATTTTCAATAGCCACTAACCTTGCCTGGTACAGCATGGGGTTGTAAACGGACATGGAATTTAAAGAAGGTTCTTGGTGCACAGCACAAATTAGATATATGGGGACGGTAGATTTTTCATCTTCAGTTTTCTCTCACATAGCTTGTACGAAATAATTGCTGTGTTAACTGAACACCACTCTATAATTGGAAAAAAAAAGTTGCAGCTTGTTTTGTTGACATTCTGAATGGTTCTGAGTAAATACTTTTTTTTTTTTGCTTGAACTGGGGCTTGAACTCAGGGCCTTCACTTTGAGCCACTCCACCAACCCTTTTTTTTGTGTGTGATGGTTTCTTTCAAGATAGGGTCTCAAGGACTATTTGCCCAGGCTGACTTTGAACTTCAATCCTCCTGATCTCTGCCTCCTGAGTAGCTAGGATTACAGGCGTGAGCCACCAGCACCCAACTTACAATTTTTTAATTAAAAAAAAAAGAAAGAAATATGCAAGTGCCAAGTTAAAAGGCACTGTCATCTCCAGTTCTCTGGACGCTCCATCTCTCATAATGCAGTCTTCAATACCACAAGCAGTGGTGGTGTCAACAGCTCCATTAGTCATTGCAAAGGCAGGGAGCACTTTTTCCCATGAACGACTGTCCAGTTAGCTCCCCCGCCCCATCTGCTACTTGCACAAGGGATTCTTGGGAATCACACTCAAGACCTCACATTGTGCTGGCTAAATGTCATCTACTTGGCTCCCTTCCAGCCATCTAGTCTTGAAAGCATTGTAAGAGTCCCACTTCTATTGCACAAAGCATTCATTCTGCCACTGTGGCAGCTGCAAATTTATGAGCAGGCCTTCTGTGTCCTAAATCCAAATTCAGGTATCAATGATCCATTGGACAGGAGCAAGGAGGGAGCCCTGGGGCCCATCACTAGAGACCTCTAGGGATATTTTTTCTGCCCCTATCCGCACCAAGGGGATCATGGACTTGATGGTGGGGTGTGGGGAGGGGATCTGGGTGGAAAGAAGGTGAGGCAGTAAGGTGCAAATAAGCTAGCCCACAGACTGCCAGAAGGCACCATATTGGAAAGGGCCAGGTGAGGGAGGAGAAGGAGAGCAATGCTGTCAAGCCAGGGAAGGACAGGAAGCAGAGCCACACGCATCCTGGGAAAAGCCAGGGGCTCCAGCAGCCTTGAAAAGTATGTGATTGGCCCAGCTGGGGTCACATGGCAGGGAGGGCGGAGCACCTTGATTGGCAGTCCTGGAAGATCTGGGCATCCGGGCACCTCCACCTGCTTGACTAATCAGTCAGGAATCGTGCTCGCTTCGGCAGCACATATACTAAAATTGGACCGATACAGAGAAGATTAGCATGGCCCCTGCGCAAGGATGATACGCAAATTCGTGAAGCGTTCCATATTTTTAAAAACAAAAACAAAAACAAACAAACAAAAAAAAATCAGTCAGGAATCTTCAGGTTCACTTAAAGTCAGCTGTGCTCCTGGGCTCCGGAGTCTGATGACTGCTTTCAAAGCTGGAGCCATCACTTACCCGCCAGCTGTGACCACAGGCCCATTACCTTAACTGATCTGTCCTTCCTTTTCTTCCTTACCCTCAACTCTAAAGTGAGGTTACGACTAATACCTGCCTCACAGCGGTTGCTTTGGGGCTGAGTTAATACCTGTTAGGAGCTTGGAAGAGGGACTGTAACATGGCAAGAGCTCTGAGTTTCATAGCTGTTAGCACCAAAGCACTATTACTTTGTGAGCCTGGTGTCTGCCTGGTAGCCCCAAAGTAATCAGGAAAAACTTCCATTTTACAGAAATCCAGGAGTCTAGCTGGGTATGGTGGTGCCAGCCAGCACTCAGGAGGCTGAGGCAGGAGGATAGTGAGTTGGAGGCCAGCCTGGGCTACAGAGGGAGAGACTGTCTCAAAAGACAAAATGAAACCAGCTGTGGTGGCTCAAGCTAATAATCTTTGGGAGGCAGAAGTCAGGAGGGTAGAGGTTCAAAGTCAGTTCTGACAAACAGTTCTCAACTCCCATCTCAACCAGTGACTGGGCATGGCATTCCACACCTGTCATCCCAGCTAGCTATGCAGGGAAGCACAATTAGGGGGCTTGAAGTCCAGACCAGCTCGGGAATAAAGTGAGACCCTATCTCAAAAATATGCAACACAAAAGGGCTGGTGGAGTGGCTCAGGTGATAGAATGCCTGCCCAGCAAGCGTGAGGCCTTGAGTTCAAATCCCACACCACCAAAAAAAAGAAAACAGAAAAACAAAGAATGAGCCTGCTTTAGTCAGGTGTGTCAGAGCACACTTGTAATCCCAGCACTCAGAAGGCCAAGGCGGGAGGATGGTGAGTTCAAGAGGGCCAGCCATGGGTTACATAGTGGAGCCCCTGGACCTTGTTTCCAAAAGAAAAAGAAAAAACAAACCCAGGGAGCCTGTGTCTGGATTTAATAGCAGGTCACCTGTTTTCCAAAGAAAGGGACAAGTGACTTGGTTTAATTCCCAGTGAACCTCATTGACTTTTTTTTTTTTTTTTTTTGAGATACTGGGGTTTGATCTCAGGGCCTACATCTCGAGCCACTCCGCCAGCTCTTTTTGGTGAAGGGTTTTTTCAAGATAGGGTCCTGAAAACTATTTGCCTGGGCTGACTTAAATCCTCCTGATCGCTTCCTCCTGAGTAGCTAGGATTACAGGCGTGAGCCACTGGCGCCT